TCTAAAAATGTTCATCTACAAGAACTTATGGACCGAAAATTGTTAACATAATTCTTACACAATTTCAATTTCATTTTCGCCTAAGTTATTCGCGCATTTTTATTTTCCACTGTATTAAAAATCTTGAGAAGAGGGAAAGAACGCGAAATATACAATAGACTTATTGTTAATTTTATTTAACTGCGGCATTTCAGATGCTTTGCAGCAGCCGTGGTCACGGGGGCACTTAATTTGAGAACAAGCCAACTAATATATCTCGCGTTTTAAACCATTTAAAGTGTTTTATTTAAATGACTCGTTAATATATTGTATAAAGTAACCGCCTCCATAGTTCAATGGTTATATAATTTGCCTAGCAACGGAAGCGCGAAGAAAACAATATGTTTTTTCAGTCATAAGGCATAGAAAACTGTAATAAAACATTTACAGATTACGATCAGTGAAACGGCCACAAATATGTACGGCTTTTATTTCTCCTAAGGAACCGTGATTTGTTTATCTCATTAATCCAATTTTCCTGCGATATGGCTCATATAAAATAATTAAATATTCACAATTTTTATAACATATTAAAGCGAGAAGCCAAAAGCAAACAAGTTCCAATAAAAATATTTACCTCCACTAACAACTTACATGACGCTAATCTTTTAAATATTAAAACATTTACAGTTACTTGTTTAATCCGGAGGTAGAAAAAAGTTCAATACATCATTGTGTCGTAGTTTTAAAATGTTAAGTTTTGTTGTTAAGGGCACGCCGAAAGGGGTATAAATAATGACGGAGCAGGTCTATAGAAAACTAAACGATCCGTGGGGTGAACTGCAAACGCTTTAAAAATCGATTTCGAAAAGCTCTCAAAAATAAGCTTCTGTTGAGAGTTTTTTGAATCTGGTAATGTTTATAGGTTTCTCGATTTAAGCAGTTCGAAGAGCCACTACGCTGCAACAGGGTTGGTGGGCTTTCGACTCAACCGTTTGGTGTCCACTGCTGGATATAGCCTCCCCCATGGTAAGCTTTTATATACTAATATATCGTGTTATTAAACCGTTAAAGTGTTTTATCTAAATGTGTACTACTCGCGTAAACTATAGACAGTATTTAGACCTAATCTTGCAGCTACAACTAAATTGTAACATGATCTCCATCCAAATCGTATCATGACCGCATAAAAGTTTTCGGTCCATGTATAGAAATATTTTGTTAAAGAGAAACAAAAATCGTTAACGAAAAATCTACCCTCATTTATTTTTAATATTAACTCCAACAGTATTTTTATTTATTTAGTTACCAAACTCCTCCAAAACAGCTCGACAGATTTTTATGAATTTTTGTATGCATATTCAGTTGCTCTGAGAATCAGTTACTAATTGAGTTTTAGTAATTTCCTTAAAATAATGTATATGACAAAACAATATAATATAATTCCTAAAAGAATAGAAGGTTTAATTCATGGAAGCTTAGACCGAAATTACGATACCAACTATAATTTCTCTTAATGCAAAAAAGCCTTAAATTTTAAATTATATCATAATCATATCTACAAAGTATACACATTTCTATAAGAAAAACTTTCAGAGAGAGACGAACAAACAACACATCGTTTATTCAGCTAAAATAAAACCAAGTGCATTGTTGCACTTATCTCTTTATCTCTACAGTGCACAGTGACGGACATGTCAACTTCAAACGAAGTTAATAAACAGTAGCCTTTATCGATATAATTATTACACCTAGTTAGCTCGTGTGAACTTAATTCCAAGCGTCACGTGTAAGATAGTGGTATTCATTTTTGCAATATAACCCCGTGATTTCCATTTGTTCCAATACGAAATCTGATTTCATTTTACTGATTGCTTTGTTAATATCCCGTTCTGATATTGTTATCTGTGGTTATTAGATTTATATTTATTTGGACAAATGTTGTACGATTTTTTTTTGAGCCAGCATATTCAGTGGCTTTAAGTATCCTTTTATTATAATCAAAAGTAGTAACATTAACTTTAATATCATAGAGACGTACAAGAAGAACAGGAAGTTTGAATAATAAATGGAAATAAATTAACCGTCCACAATTCCGTTTATGACTCCGGTCTACTATCCATCACTTTGTATTGACCCTAATAGTCCAAAAATAACAGAATTTGAAATTCTAACATTGATTGCATTCATTGCATTGCACAATTTAGTGCTTCTTTTGTTTTTTTCCTTATATTTTTATTTATGAAGCAACAGACGCAATTTTGTCTTCTTAAACTGAAAAATATTGTCTATTTTATTTAACTGTTTCTATTAAAGCAAAATAATTGGGTACACGTTCAATCATTTTAATAAAATATGCCTGCCAGCTACTTACACCGCTGCGTCACTAAAAATGCGCTGCGCGGGCGCAGGATAAAGAAACAAGCGCACGCTTCGTCGAATATGAACAAAACTATTAAAAACAACACGTGCAAAATATTAGATAAATATTACAATACAAACAATTGCTATACAACAATATTATTCGCATTTATTTGCACAAATGTTCAATTTTGTCCAGTTATCACTTACCTCGTCGCTAAAAAATAATTCCTGGCCACAATATAATTCATAATCTAACTAATCCTTATTTACATTGAATGTTTGAAGTAGGACTGATAAGAACAACAGGTAGAATAAATCCAGTATTTTCATTGGTTACAATTATTGCTTGAATCGCATACAACTAGGCGCGCCGTGGCCTCTCCTTACTGCATATACAAATGTTATTTGTACTTTTTGAACTATATTATAAGTGTTTTAATAGAACGTATTATTAAGCTTACATATGAGGTTTCGAGATAGAGGGGTCTAATAACAAAAAACATGATTTTCAATAAGGAGAATAAGAAATATGCGCAAAAAACTTAGGCAAAATGAATTTGTGCTATTCTTTGTAAGAATTATGTTAACAAGGTTTGGTCACTGTGCTCTTGTAGATTAACATTTTTAGACTAAGTATATAAATAACTAAAGTCATAGAATTACAGTTAGACTACTCAGCTAGCGGCCTAATATATCTTAAAATAGAGAGTCTTTTAAACTTCTGAAGGATGACAAAATAGATATAAGTTGTAAATCTAATTACGTTAAAAGTGTCACACCATAATACAATTCAACCTAGTTTGGTTGAATTGTATTATTCAAATATTTTACCCCCAGAAGCAATAAAAAAGTAAAAAAAGCTCGTGATACTCACAAGGAAGTGGACGTTTAATATTACGAAAAATAGTCATTATAATAAGAGTTTTTACCTTTAAAGTATAAAACATAAAATGATCATCCCCCTTTTTCGTAAGTAGGCTAGTATATCTGTGAAAGATATATATATATATCTTCCACAGATATTAGAAATAAATTATGTGTTTCTAAAGTGATTCACAATTCTAAAGAAAGATATTTAGGAATTATTTACCAATTAACGATAATAGTTATAATTGTCGATTTAGTTATTGTGTGTGTTGTTATAAAATTTCTATGTATATAAGTATAAGTTTTAGATTTAAATGATGAAATGTAAAAAGGTTTATTTCCATTAAACAATAATATAACAATAAACCGAACAACAACAAGATAAAAATTTAGACGTAACATGTTCAAAAATCTTCGTATGAGCTATACGTATCATTTGCTTTATAATTCTAATAGGCGCAACAGTTTTATTAATCTGCTTATAAACATATTATCCGTAAAATAGTAAATAAATTTGCATTGTTTTTTATTCAATTAACTCGTAAAATCATATTGAATACGATTATTATATCAGAAAACAATATGTAGGAAATATTGTTTTCTGTATTGTCAATTGTCAAACAATTAACTGTTAATACCATAGGGGAACTAATTGTGCCGAAGGCATAACCAATATCTAACCCTTCGATTAGCCCACAGAGAAACATTAAGATTCTCCAATAGGGTGTCGGCCAAATTATCAGAAATGGTTTCTTTATCTTTATTGATACTCATTTCGATATTATATCATGATTTTATTTATTATATTATTATTATAGCATTTGAAGTACTAAATACTATGTTTAGAATACCGCCAAAACACGTCGTCAAGTTTGATAACACGTAACGTGTGTCCGTAGTTTATGCGAGTAGTACACATTTAAATAAAACACTAAAGATGTAAAATGCGATATATTTTAGTTAAACGTGGTATCCCCGTGACTACGGTTGCGGCAAAGCATCCGAAATGTCAGGCCGTAGTTAAAATAATCGTCAATTGTTAAACTAAATTAAATCGCGTTTTAAACCGTAACAGTGTTTTTTTAAACATAACGTGTGGTCATATTCGTAATTTCCGGGAAATGTGCACTCAACGATTGCCAACAAATGTCATAACGAACGTATTATTTGTTTACTTATAAATATTTAAATTAATAATATAACTATATTATTCGATAAATAATTATAAAACCGCATCCTTTTTTATTCTAAGTAGACTTAAAATTTTAATTTGTACATAATGTAAATTGTCACATTGAATGTGTTGTTTATATTTTTGTTATAATCTATATTAATTTTTTGTTTACATTTTTGATTCCGACTTTCGTAGTTCGTACAGTTACAATCTAGTTTTAATTAACAAAGTAGTGTTTTTAAATATAATAATACTTTGTAGTAAATAAATAAAAATAATTTGATCATAATTAAATCGGAGTGCTTAACCTATTATTAATAAATATTATTATTTGCCAATAACTTAAAATCAGGTTAAACGTACTTTGACCAAGGTCCAAAAATCTGGATTTAATTAATCATTTTAAATAGACAGAACTTCATATGTATTGTTTCGATTCATCACTTGATTAGATAACGTTTTATAGTACTTTTGAAGTACTATAAAAATAATAAAGTGTCGGCCTTGTATATACAATTAAAGGTAAAACTTATGCAGTTATAAGGCTGCAAAAAATATGGTATATTTATTATTGCTGTTCGCTTTATACTTGTGTAACATATATTAATGTGTTATAATGGTTGCCTATTGGTGCAGATTGGCTAACAAAAGTAGTCTTCAAAACTACGCCACCTTAAGAAAGTACTCCTTAAAAGGCTTTGATATGGTAAATATTTTATTTGTAGTTAAATATAAGTAGTAATTAATACTTTATTTATTATTCATATGTTTTGCAGGAAAGTCCAATAGTTAATACTAAACTAGGAAAGCTACGAGGCAGAGTAAAAGAACTGTTTGATGGAAGTAAATACTATAGCTTTAAGGGAATTAGATATGGACAACCTCCATTGAGGGATTTACGGTTTAAGGTATGGCCAAATAGATACACTAATGAATTCCATATAGAGAGTAAAGATTGTAGATAATGATTATTAAATTCATTTATATTCTATTGGGGACACCCATAGAAGGCCAGGTGATCCACATCATCAGCTGACCATTTCACCCATTTCCTCCTTGCAGAGGTTTTCTGGGTTATCCAACTTTCGCTGTGTCCCCTTCAAACCTTCCTGTTTGCTTGCAGAATCTTACTATTTGTTCCATCTTTAATTCTTTAATGTCATCTTCCTACACTTCGTCCAAACCCATATGTATTAGTGTTAGTCTCATTGAAAAGGATTATTTAGTCTGTTACATCTCCTCAAATTTTTAAATTTAAGAAGCCTTATAGTTTTTGATAATTAGTATTATAGTGTACAAATCTCTTTTAGATGATATTGGGTAAGGGTATTTCACCTTCCGTCAAGTAAACCCCAAACTTCTCTGTCTTCCTCTGTCATAAAATAACAAACATATCATGCATATCTACAATGATTTTCAGGCACCACTACCTGTAAAACCTTGGGAAGGAATCTATGACGCAGTAAGACATGGACCGATCAGTCCACAATTTGATGCCCAAACAAAGCAAATCAATGAGGGTAGCGAGGATTGCTTATTTTTAAATGTTTATTCCAAATCTTTAGACCCAGAAACCAAAAGCCCAGTAATGGTTTTTATTCATGGAGGGGGTTTTGTGTCGGGTTCTGGCAACAGTGATATATATGGACCAGAATTCTTAATACAACAAAATGTTGTCTTAGTCACAATAAACTATAGATTAGAATTATTTGGTTTCCTGTGCTTGGATATACCTGAAGTACCAGGTAATGCTGGGTTGAAAGACCAAGTTTTAGCATTACGCTGGATACAAAATAATATCACTTCTTTTGGTGGTGATGCTGGAAATGTTACAATCTTCGGGGAGAGTGCTGGTGCAGCATCTGTTACATACCACATGGTATCACCTAAGTCCCGAGGTCTATTCCATAAAGTAATAGCCCAGAGTGGTGTCTGTACTGCAGATTGGGCACAGAGTATAAACTTAAAAGAGCGTTCTTTAAAAGTCTGTAAGGCTCTCGGTAAAGAGACTACGAACCCCACTGAGGCTTTGCAGTTTTTACAAAGTGTACCAGCACGTGATCTAGTAAATAAAAACTTTATGACTAAAACCAGTGATGAAAAACATAGGGGACTGCCCATATATTTCGGACCAACAGTGGAACAGAATTTTGGTGACAATGCACACTTTTTACTGGAAAATCCAGAAAATTTAATACTACAGAATAACATTAAAAAAGTTCCTCTCATGATTGGATATACCTCCAAGGAGGGAATCATAACATTGGGAATAGAATTGAGAAAATTAGAATATAGAAAGAAGAACCCATCATCGTATGTGCCGAGAGAAATTTATCTAACAGTGAGTGAGAATAAGTTGAAGGAATTCGGTGAAAGGATTAAGAAGTTTTATTTTGGTGATGAAATAAGAGAAGAGGACAGTGAGAAAATATGTGATCTACAATCGGATTTGTATTTCACGTATCCTCCGCAGCGTTTTTTACAATTGTATTCTAGATATAAGCAGCCAATCTATATGTACCGTTTTAACCATGACACCGAGTTGAACTTCTTCAAAAATATAATGGGTGGTAGTGAAATTAAGGGTGCCTGTCACGTAGATGAATTGTTTTATTTATTCTGCAATACAGTGAATAGGGATTATTATAGAGAGGATGAAAAGTTAAGAAATATTATTGATACGGTGGTTCAGCTGTGGACAGATTTTGCAAAGACTGGGTAAATTATATTTTTTTATTCATTTAGTATATTCATCAATATGAAATTTTATTTCTAAGTTGTAATTCATGGTTAAGTTAAGAGCCACGCTGCTCCGTCAATCACCATTAAATGATCATGCGCATGCGACGGTTTTTAAAACCAAGGGATTCATTACATTCTACTATTTAAATAAAACACTTTAACGTTTTAAAACGCGATATATTAGTTAAACTTCGAATTTGAAAATGATTTTTAACTTCGACATTTAACTAATATATCGCGTTTTAAAACCGCTAAAGTGTTTTATTTAAATGTCCTCTTACTATAGACAGTATTTACCTTCTACAACCTAACTTTTAGAAAATTCTTTATATAAATTCCAAACATTAAAGTAACATCCGCCCGGCTGGAGAATTCAAACCTGACTAGTTCGAACTGATTTATAGTTCACTACTAACTAGACTCATTGGTCGTCAGTCATATATTTATGTGTTTGATGCTCTTAAAGTCACTGTGATTAATTTCTTTTAGGAATCCTACATCAAGCAGTTCCATAAAGTGGGATCCATACACTTGGGAGAACAAAGAGTATCTAAATATTGATGAAGATATGGTGCTGGGAAAATACGCAGATAAACACAGAGTAGAATTTTGGTATAAACTATATAGAGAAGCTGGTTTGCATATCAAGAGTAACTTGTAATATCGATTTACTCTAAGTTCTATGAGGCATAGGATGGCATTACATAAATTAATAATTTGACAATATTGAAAAAACTTACTCCAAAGATTTACATAACCAATTGAGTAGAGGATGATCGCCTTCATAGCTGAATGGTTAAACATTGGCCAGGATTGTGGAAAGCACGAGAGGTTTTGGTTTCGGAAACCGGGAACAAAAAGCAAATTGGTCAGGCAGAGCACTGAAGGATAACAGCCCCTTGCAAATTAGTATTTGCTCTTGCGCATGTTAGTATTGTCTTTAAGAGTAATTTTATTCAGAATGAAATGAGGGTATATTTTTATAGGTAAATTAAATATTAGATAATTAGGTCGGTACAAGGGATGGTTGCTGGCAGCTATTTTAATTTTAAGAATTTTTATTTTTACCAATATCATATATCATAAACGTGTTTAACAATTATAGTACATACAATTATGTATAGAAAAAATGTATTCAGAAGAAAGCCTTTCTTACTAAGTGACAATAATATTAATATGTTATATTTATAGATATATATTCCAGCCAAGAACATTATAATAATAATCAAGTATTTTCGAAGAAAATATATGAATGAAATTTATTCAAAGAATAATTGTGACGGTACTTTACGCACATATAAGTAGGGAGTATATTTGATGTTTATCGTTGGTAGAACTGGCGTTTAACATAAGTATACTTAATAGTAAATTAACTTATTTACACCATAAAATTGTGATAACTTAGACTATGACATATATTGCCATTTATAATTTTTCTATAATAATAAAAGTTTTGCAAAGTAGCACGTTTTTTTTATTTTACTTCGTTAGATAAGTGCAATAAATATATTTTAACACATCGCTATTAAAAAGGCACAAGTAATATATTTTGGTGTATTAGATCGATATCCTTCTTAGACACTATTTAAAACGCTTGTTGTTACGTAATCTTAAAGCTTTTTTATTTAATTTAAGTCTCTGTTTCAGTGCTCAATCTATACTAATATATAAAGCTGAAGAGTTTATTTGTTTGTTTGTTTGAACGCGCTAATCTCAGGAACGAATTGAACATGTTATTGTTTTGATTGGAGCACTTATCGAGGAAGGCTATAGACAATAAAACATCGCCCTGTGACTAATACAAGCGAAGATATAGCGGGAAATGTGTCCGAGGCATACGCTGCAATAACGGTTCAAGATACCCAAAAATATGTATGAAAGAATGATTCCTCTTTAAACGATCTAAAAAAATGCCTGCAACACTATCTGTCTATATTTTAAGATTAACTTGTAAGAATGACGGAAAGGGACGCGCCGACGTCTGGATACAATTAGTTTATAAAGATGAGATTTCAAAAACAAATTTAGATGGTCTATAATATTTTTAGCGACGCAACAGCTGGTTTTAAATACAATCAAGTAGTTAAACAATTTAAAGTCTACCGGGAGCCAAAGCCGGGATTTCGTTTGCTAAGAGCAATGCTAACAAAGTAGAACAGTTACTTTGTCTATTTTTGTTAGGATTAGTGTAATCGAACGCAAACCAATTCTTAGTTCCTTCTTGTCACGTTGTTCTCTCTCTTTTGATTCCGTTGTACGAAATTGATCTCATAATTAAAACGTTAATCGATTAGACTACGAATGATTCTTCAGTTTTTTTACGAATTAAATTATAATGTAATATTTAGTTTCACAAACCTTTTTTATCAGCTTAAAACACTTGTATACGTAACTAACATGACCTTGACCAAGACCGCTATATTGCTTTCACGCTACAGGTCCAGTCGCGGAGAAAACATTATTTCCTTATTATTATTATCAATACTAATATATAAAGCTGAGGAGCTTGTATGTTTGTTAACGACAAGTTTGAATTGATTTTTTTTTGTCTTGGTTAGAGCATTTATCGAGGACGGCTATAAGTACGCTTTTAAACATCGCCCTGTCCCTAATACAAACGAAGGTACAGCGAAAAATGTGAAAAAAAAACATCATTATGAGTTTCCTGGTGTCGTGGGTTACAGCTTAAGCTTGAGATGAAGATGAAGGGGTTTACAAAAAAGATATTTGGATGTCCAAAAGAACTACCCTACGCGAACAGAGTCGCTAATGTCTAATAAAATAGTAGAAACATTGATTCCATAATATACATCTACAGGAAAAACATTTACTTTCCTTATTATATCATAGGGGTACTTGTTTTAAAACATGTATTTTTATTACTCACTAATACATTTATTATTTTGTTTTGAGTAACATATTTTTCTACTAATATCAGATTGAGTAAGCCGGGTTTAAATCCGTCGAATTAATTATACTTTTTATTTTCATTCCACTTAAATTAAATTGTTGACTAAAAGATCGCAACTTGCCAACTTTACTTGAGTCATGCATAGATCAAATTTGCATTTTACAATCATTACTGTTTCAAGAATTGTAATATATAATATTTACGTACTACACAAATATAATGTAACTAGCTGTGCCCGCGACTTCGTGCGCGTAGAATAGTTATTTTGGGGATCATAATATTACCTCTTTGAAAAATAACCTCAACTTTTAAAATTACACCTGTTTACCCACGACGTCGTCCGCGTACCGTCTTTCTTGCAAGTAGCCGCGGAGATTCTATGAGAATTAAAAGAACAAATTTCTATTTTGAATTTAATATTAAGACTTCCTTGATAAATGGTCTATCCAACGCAAAATAATTTTCAATTCGAACTAGTAGTTTTCGAGATTAGCGCGTTCAAACAAAGAAAATAAGTCTATAAATTAGTAATGGGTTTTATTATAACATGATTTCAATAAATAGAGAAGGAAGATTTCCTATTACATTACATTAATGTAATTTTATGTGTAATATAATTGAAAGGTATTTCTGTAGATTAGTTTATATGCTGGGGAAACAGACAGATGGAATGAACTCGCTGGACACGACTGGAAAAAAAGACACTACATGTAACACGGCAAAAACAATAACAAAATGTCTTATAACATATATTCCCTTATCTCTGGCCGGTAGTAATCAATAAGACCTTATTTGACGACCTTTTAATCAAAAAGAGCTCATCTTGTTTATTGAAAACAAGAAATAGATAATAAATATTGAATTTACTTTGGGATAATTTTGTGCATCTTTTGTTTTTATATAACAAAAATAATTGATACTTTAGTCTAATTGTTTTGTAGGTTCGACAATGTTTGTTTTTATATTTTGTGAATGAGTAAAACTAATTTGTTCACGCACACTTATGAGCGTCCCATTAGTTAAAGACTATAAATTTACATTTAGTTTAGTTCTTAAGTCAAGGGCGTAGAACGAACGAGAAGAACTGGCAATAAACTCGCCGCCACTCCTTTTATCTTGTCCAGTTTAATTTTACAGTCTTCGTGTACTTTAAATGTACATATTTTTTTCTTGGTACGTCTCCAAACCCCAAAATTTTTTCGTTTAAATATTGAATAACGTCATAATAACCCTTTCCAAGGAGTTATTGTTTTACATACGATTTAAGCTTATTATTGAAATGCTTGCATTTCATGGGATTTTATTAAAATAGGTATGCCATGACTACTTCGTTGTTTACTAACGTTTCCATGACCTTAGGGTTTTACCCCCCCCCCGCCTGACAACACAAGTCATTCAATTACGTCTGTACCTTACTCAGAAAGCTAAACGTTATTGGTCGGACCATTTTCCTCAAGAAAAGTTGGATAGACGCGTGCCCGTATCACACATGTGTCTGAGAAACAAGTATAATAACAGAGACACCTATAAATACTTGTCAGTATTCATGTGTTCTTTAAGCCAACAGGAAAATGGCGGGCGCGAAATTATTTGTTTGCATTGTCACCTACTGCATATTAATGGCTGAATGCCATCATAGCAAGGAACCACATGTAAGTGAATTGTTACAATAGACTGTAGAAGGGTTGTGATATCGAGGCCCGCCCGAGACAAAAAAATAATTAATAAATGATATGAAATGTTATTTTTCTTTACCGTTTATGTAAAATACTACATCAATAGTGGAGTTTATTTTCACGATTTTTCATACAAATACATTATTATAAGTATGTATTAAAATAGTAAAAAACATAAACATATTTCTGCCGATAAAATACCGGTTCCAATTGAAATGGAGAGCCGATAACTTACACAAAACGAAAATGTCTTTTTACGATAATGTATAGCAATAAAATTAATACTGTAATAAAACATTAAACCTTTTAGAAACTAATCATAATATTACGAAGAGAACGTTGCCAAATGTCTTCCAACATTAATTTATATCAAGGACATCAGTCCTTAAGAGAAAAGAAATAGGTTACGCTCATCAAATGCTTTACTTAGTGTTGGGATTCGTCGATTAGAGTCTGTATGTAACTTATTCTTTAAATCATATTTCTAAAGACTATCCAACAGGTAAAAGTTATCGTACGACAAATAAAAGCCTTATGTTTCATTCCTTCTAGCAAAAGCCGATGGTGACAGTAAAAGAAGGAAGGCTTAGAGGAACAGTTGGAACCATCTATGATGGTTCGACGTACTTTAGTTTCAAGGGCATTCCATACGCAGAGGCACCTGTCGGGCGACACAGGTTCCAGGTAATTTTATTTGTATTAATCTACATAGTGTCTTTTAATACAGAGACTTAATAATATTAAGATAATCTATAAGCGACTAGCTTGCCATTCATTGGCATTCGTCTAGTCATTTTTATGAACAAAGAGATTTCTTATTAAATGATCATTATCATACTTACCACCGCCTCTGTAGCTAAATGGTTGAACGTGTTGCTTAGCATCGCCTTAAGCGCGAGAGGACCTGGGTTCGAATCCCGGGGAAACAGTAAAATGTTCCGGTCGGGCAGGGCACAGGAGTCTGATCACCTACTTGCCTGTAAATAAAACCGATCAGTAAAACGGACACAAAAATGTGTTCGCCCTATGCCACACGAGAGGAAACGGGATTTCACGACGATCATACGTCTATAGATCTAAATCTATTTTTCATATTACATAAATAAGAACAATAATGCGAACCCAGTGAAATGATTTTACCTTAATGACTCAAATATCAATGAGCCCGAAAGGCTTTGAACATTTCATGCAGCAGACATTTTATATCTTTTCTATTTCTAGTCTGATCCGCTGCCACCAAAACCATGGCAAGGTGTCCGCGATGCTTCACAACACGGTCCAATATGCACACAGTACGACTTCACTGTCTCTCAATACTTCGAAGGTAGCGAGCAGTGCCTCTTCGTCAACATCTATACAAAGTCTTTGCAACCGCAAGCAAAGATTCCAGTCATGGTATTCATCCACGGTGGATCCTATATGTCAGGATCTGGAAACTCTGACACATTCAGCCCCGATCTCCTGCTAGAGCACAACGTAATCTTTGCGACCATAAACTATAGATTAGAGTTGCTGGGATTCCTCTCAGTTGATACCCCCGAGGTACCTGGCAGTGGTGGTATGAAAGATACCGTTGCGGCACTCCGCTGGATCAAAGAAAATATAGCTAAGTTTGGAGGTGACCCCGACAACATTACAATCTTTGGGGAGAGCTCCGGCGCTTCTTCTGTAACTTATCTCATGATGGCACCATCAGCTAAAGGTCTGTTCAGTAAAGTCATCGCGCAAAGTGGTACCTGTTTCGAAGACTGGGCACAAGCGAGAAACATGAAAGAGAGAGCTTTCAGAGCGGCAAAAGTCTTAGGAAAAGATACCAACGACGTTGGTGAACTATTAGAATTCTTCAGAGGTTTACCAGCTCTGAATTTAACTAACCTTACTGAAAAGACGTTGACGGAGGAAGAGCAATACAGAGGTCTGCCCGAACAATTCATTCCAGTTATCGAGAAGAAATTCAGAGGTGTCGAACCGTTCATGGATGAGGATCCTGTACAAAAGGTTTTGAAGGGCAGAGTCAATAGAGTACCGATTATGCTCGGTTACAACTCTGGCGAAGGTATATCGATAATATCCGAGGAAATTAAGAAATTAGATGTTAAGAACCGCAATGTTTCATACTTTGTGCCAAGGTCGGTTGTGGAGGTAGTTTCGCAAGAAAAGGCTAAGGAATTCGGCGAACGCATACAAAGGTTCTATGGTGGCGATAAGGGTATCACTAAAGATAACCCTGGAATTGTAAGAGATGTGCTCACAGACACAAACTTTGCTTATAACACTCACAGATTTGCTTACATGTATAGCAAGTATGCACCAGTTTATATGTACAGGTTCAACTATGAGACCGACCTGAATGTGATAAAGAGGTATTCATCATACAAGGACCTGGCTGGAGTGAGCCATGCCGATGATCTTTTCTACTTGTTTTATAATAACCTGAATAAAGACGTGTACGACAGTCAACCGAAGTTGAGAGATATCGCCTACGAAGTTACCAAATTGTGGACCGATTTCGCGAAATATGGGTAAGTTTAAGATAAGTATTAGTTACATTATTGTAAATAAGTATTTTGATAAAAATGATAAAATGATACGTTAAAGAGATTAACGGTCCCACGATTTTATAGTAATTTCATTAAAAGTTAAATAGTTAAGAAATAATGAGAACAAATAAATAAAACTCCTAACTTTAAACCAAACATTTGGTGAAATATTTCTACAAATTACTATTCGTTTTAACAATTCTTCTTCCTCTATAGAAATAAGCATACAATAAAGCTTGCGTCTAAACTTCGAAATAGTTTTTATGAAAACAAAGAAGCATGAGTTTCATGTGGTATGCGAAATACACCAGCAACATAACATCTAAACCAGATGTGCTATTGACCTATTTTGACTTTGAATACCTGTAATATATTGCGCATCACTAATTTAAATCACTTTTTTAGAAATCCAACTCCAGATGGTAGTCTAGGAGTCGACTGGCAACCGTACACCGCATCTGGCAAGGAGTACTATAATATTCAAGAAAAGTACTCCGTAGGCCACTATGCTGATAGAGATCGGATTGAATTCTGGAATCAGATCTACAAGGAAGCCGGCTTACCTCATATTAAGTAAAAGTGACACATTAAAAATATTCTTATGTATATTTACTATGGTTTTATTTTAATAGCATTAGCCATCGATGGATAGATAATTTGTTATGTTAGATGATAGATATTGTATATTAGAAAATTTACTATTACATATTAATAATTGGTATTTAGAACTTAACTAATCATGATACAGATATTTAGAATAGGATATAAATATACCAATTCTTTTAATGATAGAGGAGGCCAGGTAGGCCTGAGGTCCACTTGTTGGTAAATGAAATATCCTAACCATATAACACCTAGACAAGATAGGCTAAAGACCTAGTTTGGCTTTCGATGTTCGGATATCCACAGATTAAATACTGACTATAGTTTACGCGAGTAGTACACATTTAAATAATCTCGGTTATTGCGGGTTCCCCGTGACCAGTAGAAACAAAGTTGAAACCGAAACACGATTCAAGATAGATTGAAACCGAAACGCAAATTATGGTTTTTGATCTGTGGTCGGTTGTTCACCCGGACGGAATTTCGACATTTCATGATCGATTTAATTTCCAGATGAAAACAAAGGTGTTTTAGGAAAATTATAAATTCAAAAATTAGAAAAATGATGGACCCGGTGGGGATAGAACACATGGCCCGTTGATTATTAGCCATACATTGCTACCGTTGCACCAAGAAGCCCGTCGAATATGTTATACTAGCTGCGCCAGCGACTTCGACCGCGCGAATCGTTATTTTGGGCACCCAAATTAGGTTTTGCAAACCCCGTCATCTTTATAAACTTAAGCTGTTAACCACAACGTCGATTGCGTCCCTTCCCGTCGTTCTTGCAAGTTAATCTTAAAAGATAGACATATAGTGTCGTTTCTTTAGATCATTTAATGATAAATAATTCTTTCATACACATTTTTTGGTTATCTTGAACAGAGATGAAAAATTTCCCCCGTTTTGTTCTATATATCCCTATAGCCTTCCTCGATAAATGTTCTGACCAACACAAAAATAATTCGAACCCGTAGTTCCTGAGATTAGCACGTTCAAACAAACAAACAAACTCTTCAGCTTTATATATTAGTATAGATTACTGGTTTCCCCCTTCAAAGACAACACTTCACATTACTCATAATATATATGTACGTAAAGAATGACTGATCACGTACACGCTATAAGTATAATAGGATAATAAGTGTAACAAAATGATCATTCTCTATTCAGCAATAGCCCCAGCAGCACAAATAACAGGAAAATGAAAACAATATTCTCCTTTACACTGATTCATACAATCTTTGCATTGACGTTCAGTTAACGGAGTTCGGGAAATGTGAGTAATTGCCTTTAATTAGAAACTTATTGATAAGTGAACTCCTAGACTATTTATATTATGAGTAAAATGTAATTATGTGAAAGGTTTTGTTATTGATACAATACTTTATTATATTTCAATTTAAACAATATAGCTTTCCATTAACAATGTTAATACTGTTTGTAAACGATTTTAATCCAAATACTTAAAACAATACTTTTAACGGTTTAAAACACGAAATATATAACTATAAATTGTAACTAGGGCGCGACCTTTTGGATACTTTGCAGCTGCTAGTCACGAGGGATGTTTGGCTTATACCTTTCGCGTTTTAACCCGTTTAAAGTGTTTTATTTAAATGTGCGTTTACTCCTTCGTTACGCGAAACTAATTTAATTAGAATGAGAAAGACTAAACACATTTTCTATTCCTGAAATAGTCATGAAGGAAATTGTTTATTATCAACACAAGAAAATGTAGTGAAATATAATCTTTTATAATTACAGCAAGCGCCTATAGTAAGTGTAGAACAAGGAAGATTAAGAGGCACTATTGAAAGGATTTATTCGGGATCTTCATACTTTAGCTTTAAAGGAATAACATATGCTGAAGCACCAATCGGAAAAGATAGATTCAAGGTACGTACTGTAACATATCAAAATACCGTTATTAAGGGCGTATATAAAACCAGCTGTGTCGGCGACTTCATCCGTGTAGAATAGTTTTTTTGGGCATTCAAATTTATTTTTGCAAATCTTTATAAATTTAACCCACGACGTCGGTCATGTCCCGTCGTTCTTGAAAGTTTATCTTAAAAGATGGACACATACTGTCAAAGAACTTTTGTTAATAATTTAAAGAGGAATCATTCTTTGATTCATTTTTTTAAGTATCTGGAACCGTTTGCGCCGCGTAGGCATCGGAAAACCACAAAAATTAATAATTTCCTCGTGTTTTCTACATTTCGCTCTTATTAGTCACAATGCGATCTTTTATAGCCTATAAGCTTTCTTAATAAATGATCTAACCAACACAAAAAAGATTTTGTTTAATTTGAACTGTTTGCTGATAGTTGGAGTTTCTGAGATAAGCATGTTCAAACAAACTCTTAGGCTACCTTGTATTATAAATCAATATATTATTTTTCAGTCACCATTGCCACCAAAACCATGGATTGGAATTCGAGAAGCCAAAGAACATGGTCCAATTTGCGCGCAATTAAACACTACTACATTAGATACTATAGGCAGCGAACAATGCTTATTTCTAAACGTATACACAAAATCAATTGACCCAAGATCCAAATTACCCGTCTTGGTCTTCATACATGGCGGATCTTTCATGTTTGGCTCAGGAAATTCAGATACATTCTCACCAGATCTACTAATACAACACGACGTCATTTTCGTTACAATCAACTATAGACAGGAACTGCTTGGCTATCTGTCTTTATATATACCCGAAGTTCCAGGTAATGCTGGTATGAGAGACCAAATTATGGCATTGCGTTGGATAAAGGAAAATATTGCTAGATTCGGTGGGGATCCAGACAATGTTACCATATTTGGGGAGAGTTCTGGAGCGGCTGCTGTCACATATCTCATAGTTTCACCGATGGGTAAAGGCCTATTTAATAAGGCAATAGTAGAGAGCGGCGTTTGCCTTCAAGACTGGGCTCAAGGAAGGGACATGAGACCAAGAGCATTTAGAGCTGGTAAAGTTTTAGGAAAAGATACAAAATACGTGGCAGAATTATTGAAACACCTAAGAAGTTTGCCATCAGGAAGTCTTTCCAATCTACCAGATAGGACCATGACTGATGAAGAAAAATTAAGAGGCTTACCCGAGAGATTTGTTCCTGTCGTTGAAAAGAAGTTTCCCGAAGTGGAGGCTTTTATTGACGAAGACCCTGTACAAATTCTAATTGACGGTAAAGCAAACACAGTTCCGTTGATGCTTGGTTATAATTCCGGCGAAGGAATCTCAATTATATCCTATGAAGTACCAAGATTGGAAGTGAAGAACGCGAATCTATCTCTTTTCGTTCCAAGAGATATCGCGGAACGTGTTTCTCTAGACAAAATGCAAGATATGGGTAGGCGAATAAAAGAATTCTATGCAGGTAAAGGAAATTTTAGCGAAAACGATCCCGAAGTTATCCGTGATATGGCAACTAATATTCACTTCGCTTATAATACCCATAGATTCGCCTATCTATACAAACGGAAAAACAACCCAGTGTATATGTATAAATTTAACTATGATACTGATTTGAACATACTCAAAAATGTTTTTAATCCTGCATACAAACATTTGGAAGGAGCTACTCACGGTGACGAATTATTTTATCTATTCTATAACGCCTTGAATAAAGCTGTTCTTGACGGTCAACCGAAGCTGAGAGATATTACTTACAGGCTTACTAAAATGTGGACAAACTTTGCTAAGACTGGGTAAGATTTAAATTTCAAACATAGCGTCGTGATTAATTATAGCGTTTACTCATTTAAAAAAAGCGCCGTTCAGAAAAATGAAGCAATTTATATTGTCTCGTTTTTTTCATATAAAGTAGTTTAATATTAAAAAGTGTTTAGTTAGAAATTTAATAAGGATTTCTCTGTAGCCAAATGTTTAAAAGTATTGCCTCGCATTGCGTTGAGCGCGAGAGCGCCTGGGCTCGAATCCCAGGGAAACAAAAAAAATTGTTTCGATCGGGCAGGGCACAGAAGTCTGATCAACTACTTGCCCGTTAAAAGACCTGATCAGTGGAACGGACACAGAAATGTGTTCGCCCCATGCCCCACGAGAGAAAACGGGCTTTCACTATACACATTAGATGTATAATGGCATAAGATATAAGAAGCTTATACGTTTTTTAATATACTTTATTATTCGCTTTTCAGAAATCCCACACCGGACGACGATCTCGGTATTAAATGGCCACAATATACGCGCTTAAGAAAGGAATACTTAACTTTGCAAGAAAATTCCGTAGCCGGATTTTACGCAGATAGAACTCAAATGGATTTCTGGAACCAATTATACAAAGAAGCTGGATTAGCTTTTATTGAAGACTAAATATATACTAGTCGTAGACTATATATTTATATAATATCTGCTGTGTCTGCGACTTCGACCACGCGGACAAGCTATTTTGAGCATCATATTATTAAATTTAAAAATCGATGAAAAAAATTTCGACTCAGGCACGACTTGAACCGGCATCGTCAGCGTTCCGCGATGTTGCTCCAATTGAGCTACCGATTCCTACACCTTATCATCAACACCGTGTCATTATGTGCAATAACATGTATTTTTGCCATCAAGCTTTATAAATTGTAACTGTTACCTCATCACGACGTCATCTGCGTCCCATCGTTCTTGGGAGTTAACCTTAAAAGATAGACGTATAGTAGTATATACAGTCGTGGTCATTTTGTTAGACAATTTTACCTTGATTGTTTTCTTTAACCGTTATGGCAGCGTACTCAACGGAAGCCTTCAAAGATTAATTATGAATTAATTTTCCCCGTTGTTTTTCACATAATCGCCTGTTTATCGATTAAAGGTCCAACCAACACAAAAATATATTATATATCTGTAATCCAAATGTGTGGTTTTTTAGTTTAGACCGTTTAAACAAACAAATGAAAGCCCCAGGTTTATAAAATGAATTAGAAATATAAAGTTTCGTGAGGACGTAAAATTTGAAAGATGTATTTTTCTTGTCAAGTTTTTTTATTGAAATAAAACACTTTAACGGTTTAAAACTCGATATATTAGTTAAACTTATTTGGAAATGATTTTTTAACTTCGGCACGACGTTTCGGATACTTTGCAGCAGCCGTGGTCACGGGGAGACTCCACACGGGGTCAGTCAATATATCGCGTTTTAAACCGTTTTAAAGTTAAAGTAACGTTAAAGTGTTTTATTTAAATGTGTACTACTCGCGTAAACTATAGACAGTATTTGAAACCACTAGGCACAAACTAGTCTTCAACAAATTATTTTGTGCATGCATTGAATATGAATATTGAACAAAAACCCTTTATAAATATTTATGAGTCGTTGGAACTTTTAATAGAAAAATAGTAGGCATATAATTGAGATCTTGAGATCACGGTCAACAGGTTGGAACACGGTAACAAGTTAGTTGATATTTTTTGTAATCGCCTTCTGTCAATAACTCTTTACGCCACTAGAATTACGTAAAGCTAAAAAGTGTTTCAAGTTCAAAGTTAAAAAACATATTATATTAAGCTTTTATAATAAGCTAATGGTGTAATGGTAGCAATTAATGGTTAGTAATCGACAAGTCGCGTTCGATTCCCACCGGGTCTAACTTCAAAAGCATATTATATTTTTTCTAAAACAACTTGTTTTGGCAAATCTGCCTTTGAATAATATTTACAATTCACAGCTGTTTTCGTCACATGTAATTCGTGGTACCGAACCCACGGCCCATTTGAGCCCGTCGGTGGATAAAATGTAATGGGACAAAATTTTAAAGCAGGTTGCATTGCTTTAGGAATAAATTATTCATGTTTTTCGCCTAAGAGTTGATTAAAACATAAGGGTATTTTTTAACTAACTATCGTAGTTTTTTTTGTGTCTACACGACGTGTCTATTATGAAGATAATTAATTTTTTAAAAGTTTTATTTTAATTTTACGCATTATGTACTAGGTTTTTAGTAATTACTTGTTGTATTATAGGTATTTGTATGTTGGTCTATTTTATTGTTTGTCTGTATGTGCTTACGTATAAACTACTTGGCTAAGCTTTACAATAGTTACAATTCATAATTATATTACACAAAAAAAATAGTTTTGATAGTCGCTTTAGTTTTACATACGCTTATTACATTTTCGAAACAGATTTTTTTAGTTGAAAACAAAAATGGGTTAAATGAATGATTGATGATTGACAAGTTGGTGTTAATAATTAATGTGCGCTAGAGTGCATGAATCGAATCTAAAAAGTGTCAATGAACTCTAAACAAGCGTGATCAATAGTAAGATAACAAATGCATCATTAATATTGTATCAAAGTCTCTGGTTTAATTCTCTGCTTTGATGCTGCTCTGCAGTGGCAATAATTGATAAACTTATTTGGAAATTATTTTTCTCTCAGTGACCACGGCTGCTGCAAAGCATCCGAAACGTCGGACCGTAGTTAAGTTAAATATATAACGTTTTAAACTGTTAACACAGTGTACAAGAGTAAAACTATCGAAAATTGGTTACGACAATTTAATTAGAAAATAATTTTGTAATATTAATTTTATCCACCTTTTCTTAACATAAAGTAACTTAAGTTTACTTCTTTCTCACTATCAATTAATTTAATTAGTTCAAAAAGTATTTACTATCACAAACGAATTTGATAAGTGGATAACATGTTTAATTACATTATTCGACCCTGAACCCTAAATATCGAGATAGGTTAATTATAATACTTGTTCATATCACAATTTAGCCTCCTTTAATTCATCATCAGTCAACTTCACCAGACGAATAGATTGTTCCCACAACTTATCAATAGCAATTTGATTATACCCCTTAGAATCGGCCCCCACTTGTCTGCAATTTGCGAAGTATTCCCCGCTAGTTTTACCATCATCATCTACCCCAAGGTAGATAGCTGTCTGTGCACCCTGAAACGTTGTTTTGGCTAGAAGGAGTATCAGCATTATCGCCAGCAAACCAAGGAACTCGTTGGCACTCTTATAAATCCTAGTCGCTGCGAAGCCTGGGTCGGAGCAGTTGACAACCACATTCGCATCGGACAGTCTGCGGGACAGCTCGCGAGAGAACAGCACCAAGCCGAGCTTGCTGTTACTGTAGATCCTCAGCTTGAACCAGTAATTGGTTCGATTGTAATTGTCGACGTCTGTACTCGCGATGCGATGGGTGAGAGAAGACATGTTGATTATACGCGAAGGATCAGATTGCGCGCCACTCTTTTTCAACAACGGGAGAAGTAGCATTGTCAGGAGGAAGTGGCCGTAGTAATTTACTTGCATGATGAAGTTCAAACCGTCCTTCGTTAGGTAGTCAGCTGGGATGCCGACACCAGCGTTGTTCACCAGGATATCCAAACGGTTCTCTGTGCTTAGTATGTCTTTCGCAAATTCTCTAACTGACGCTAGTGATGCTAGATCTAGATGTTTGAATACTACATCCACGCCAGTAGTTTCTTTGATCTTCCTCTTCGCATCTTTGCCTTCATCATCGAAGGGACAGGCGATTATAACTCTTGCTCCGCGTTCCGCGAAAACGCGGGCAATGAAAAATCCAATTCCTGCTGTACCTCCGGTAACAATAGCTGTTTTTCCATCTAGTCTCTTTCTAGATTTGTATATCGCGTTGTTAACCTTCTGATAGACACTGACGGAAATTAAAAATATGAAAATTATGGATATTAAAATGAGACCGATCATTGTGACGCGTTGCGACTAACTAATGTCGGTGTAAAGTAACGCTGCCGTGTCACGAATCCCCCTTTATGTAGATACTAAAGTTGACTTTAGAGGTCGTTCTGTATCACATTTTAGTTAAGTGGAGTTTGTTTAAAATATAATTGATATAACTGTTATCTCACAAATTTTGTCTTAAACAATAAAGTAATATTGATGTTACCTTTCTCCTGTGTTTATTATTGTTATTTATTTAAATAATGACCATAAATTGAATAAACATTATTAAAGAATTTAACATATTAAGGTAAACCATCGACTAAACTATAATTTTTCTTACCGATTAAAAATAATTGTTATTAAAAATACACTTATTAAAATAAAAAATATAGTCTGTATTTTACGCGAGTAGTATACATTTAGATAAAACGCTCAACGGTTTAAAACACGTAATACATTACTCTTCTCGGTCTTCCCGAGACCTATAAAAGGTTGTGCTCGAGCCGGAGTAAAATGGTTTATAAGTTTAGCTAGTATATTTCACGTTTTATACCGTTACATAGTGTTTTATTAAAAAATGTTATAAATATATTTTGCATCACCACAGCTAAGTAGAATATAAAAGTCGAATGAGCTTTAATTAATAACGTGTTCGTCCGGACGACAGTTATATTTTAATTACTATTTAATTAATTAAGAAAAGCTCTCACTAGGAAAATGGAATCTATACTAATAAATAAAACTGAAGAATTTGTTTGTTTTAACGCGCTAATCTCAGGAACTACTGGTTCGAATTGAAAAATTATTTTGTCTAGGTTTATGGCATCTATCGAAGTTATAAAATATAATGATATAAAATATTGCGCAAACTAATATGAACAAAAAAACAGCGGGAAATGTGTAAAAACGGGGATAATTGTGATACGTACCTCGAGAAAATGGTTCAGGACATCCAAAAATATGTACGAAAGAATGATTCCTCTTCAAATGACTTACAAAATATCCACAACACTATATGTCTATGCATAAGATTAACATGCAAGAACGACGGGACCCGAACGACGGGCGATGATGTCGTATGTAACGGCTTAAATTTATAAAGATTATTCGATTTATAAAGGCCAATCCACAAATTTGGCTATCCCAAAACAAACTATACTACGCGGCGAAGTCGCTGACACAGTTAGTACTGAAATAAAATAACTAGAAACATCGATTAGAATTTTATTTACAAAAGAGTATAAAAAAATATTAAAATCTCCGTACATTTTTAACGTACAATTAAATGACTTAGATTAATATGTGTATACGATCACATTTCATTGACAGGGGAACTATAATCGTCCAGCGAAACGGACACATTTTCAAATTCTAAAAAGTATGGGGCATATTTCTGTATCCGTCACGCAGATTTTCATTTACAAAAGGTGATCTGCATTCTGGTTGACCGGGGTTTGAACCCGTGATTAGTAAACGTTGAAATAAAACACTTTTAACGGTTTTAATCGCAAAATATTTTATCTTACCTTTATAATATGTGTAACCTTGGGTCGTTGTTAATAAGTACGTAGTATACTTTAAAACCGTTAAATACGTTTTTTATTGTACTATATATATATATATATATATATATATATAATAAAAAAGCATATATAATATATATATAGATATATATATATATATATATATATGCTTGATATTCTTAGTAATAATACTAGATCTAAAAGCAATTTGTCTTGTACAAAAAATAAGAAATATGGCAATTTTAACATACACGTTTTTTGTAAATATTTCGTCAACTATGTGCTAACAACTTTATAATGTTGACACAAAATCATCAATTTTGTCGATGTACTTAGTGCGTTTAAATTAAACTATACTACATGTTTACTTAAATTACGTATGTACGTCTACTTAATACCTATAACTGACTTATGTTTACTTACAAGTGACATTGAGAACGTTTTGTACACAATTTTTAAGACTACTGTATATAATCGTCATGTAACGCCATCTTTTGTAATTTTTTATTAAAAAGTAAACTAGATACAAAATATTTTGGGTAGGGACGTAATTTTTAGAGTATTTTTGCAGGACTTATTTACAAAGTAAGCAAGAATTTTACAGTTAGTTAGAGACTATTTTTTTTAAATATAAATATCGTTATTTACGTAGCTGCCATGCAATGTTTTTTTTATGATTTGACGTATTGAGCCCGGGGCTTCGAATACTAGCCGGACGTTTGGGCGAGCGCTCGCCATAACCAAGCAATGAATAATTCTACCAATATAATATAACTATTATTTAAACTATGTTACTAGTACTTTACCTTTAATAACCAAGAAACAAGTTACTCAACAATTAATAGGTAGTATATTTTTGTGAACGATTTATAATTCATATATAATAATTAATATTTAAAATTCATTAGTCAACGTTGCACTTATAAATAGTTCAACCGAAGATTCGGCTACTGCGTACAAAACCTACGGCTTCGTATAAAACCAGACCGTGAGATTCCAATAACTTAGCCAAAAACTTCGATCGATCGCTATGTGTACACAAGTTATTTATGTAACTTTGACTTTATCAAGTAGAATATAGAGGCTCCGCATATATCCGAGTAGGGCCCGAAATGTTGGTCGGAGGCCCCATCGGTGGTTCCCGAGATAGAAGCAACGCAGACCGCATCCGTTGTTTTGCTGAAAAAGTTAAAAAATATTGTATACAACTGACTAATATCCCACGAAGTATTTTCGAAGTATCAACTACATGCTAATATTTCATGTTTGAGATACCCACTGTCATTGGGTGAAGTATTTTATATTCCACTAGGGGACAAAAACTGTCTACTCTTAAATTTTATCTATATATAGAGTAGTACTCATTTAAATACAACACTTATGGGTTACAAAAGATGTCGCTAGCGTAGCAGATTCGCTTTGACGTTAGGGACACTAGTTAAAATATATAGTAAATAAATACATTTAAAACCGTTAAGAGTTTTGTATACAATTGCATTTCTCATTAGAACTTATAAAATTACGTTGCGCTACATCTAAAACACAAAACAAATTTAAGTTATTATTTAAAGAACGTCTTTGACCTTGATTATTTTAAAGCTTAATATATAAATGGCAGTGTATTTTTTTTCTTCTTTACTTCATATTATACCTACGTACCATTTGAATGCATGCAGCACAGCACAATAATAGCAATTAGAGCAGCGATCGGCAACACACCGGCGACTGCCAGCAACGCCTTCTGCGAATGCGAGTGTAGGGCCCGCGGGGCCCCACATTCAGTGATATTACGGACCTCGTAGGCCTGCAGTATTTGCTGAAACTCAACGCCGAGTGATCTTATTGTTGATTTCATCGCTTTCGGTGTTAGAGCCTCCCCCGTTTCCGTTTGACGGAATTGGAAACATGGCCTGAAAGGAATTTCTAATTTAATAAACTTTTCTCCAATTACTTGACTGGATCTGTGGGTCAATGGTTTATCGTGTTGCATCTTATTAAGCACTTGGGGTTTTGGGTTCGAATCCCAGGGCAACTAAAATCTGTTTGGACGTACAGTACGTTCTCAAAACATGGAAACTTTTCTATTACAGGCCAGTTTCACAAAGAAATAAAAACATTAATTAAAGAGCAGTCAGTGTAAAAAAGCGGGAATTGTGAAGTTAAGAACTTATTAACAGGACAGATCTAAAAGGCATTCTTAATCTCTTTGTTGTTAAAGATCAACGACACATCGACAAATGACAAATTTCGTTATAACATAAATATTTGGATGCAGTGTGTACGATGCATTAACATTTTAAATAAACTTCTAAAGAGACAAATTATAAACCAAACAGGATCAAAAATGACACTCCTTCAAATAAAAGATGATATCATTGTGACTTACACGAATTTAAAGTCGATTTCTGGGGCATAGTTAAAGCGAACACATTTTTTTCTCCCTATCACTGGTCCATTTTAATACCAAGCAAGTTTTTTAGATTTCGTCTTGACCTAGGGCCTCATGTGCTTATCGCAACATATGTAACTGCAAATTTCGACTTCATTCACAGTTCTATAAAACTGACTATTTCTTTGTGTCAACTTCTTTAGGGTAATTGATTAAGATTGAATTTACTATCACATATTCTGACAGCGAATCTACATACTAGCATACACGTTTATCACTTACCCCATATTAGAATAAAACACTTTTAACGATTTAAAACGCGACATATATCAATCAGTTAACTTATTTCAAATATATTTTAACTACGGCGATATACCGTTAAATATGTTTTATATTATTGTGTACCGTTCGTAAAATACAGACAAGTCTTAATTACCCCATATTGTCGTAAAAAGCGTCATGTGTCGCGTCGTGAATTTGCATTTTCAATTGTTTCTGTTCGAGTACTTGTGATATGTTTTGCTTCAGCGCTGCAAGACGTGCGCGACCGGCGGGCAGAACGAGTCGAAGTAGATCTCTTTCGCGGACGACGACCACCTGAGAAGGATTAAGACTTTTTTAAATTATGTCAGAAATAATTTAAGATATAACAAAATAATTATCCATAGACGAAATAGGTCGACAGTGCATCTTCTTAAGTTGTTATATGGCTGGGGTTTTACCTTCCATAATAAAACTGTCCTCAAGCGAAGTAAGTGAAATTGGAGAGAAACAAGAAAATATGATTGCATAAATTATGACTCTTTAAATGATCAAATTTCTTAATTCGGTAGCTCAATTGGTAGAGCAACAGCACGGAACGCTGACGATGACGCTTCAAGTCCTGCTAAATTGCAGTCCTGCAAAATTTTTCTACTTGATCATTACAAATTATTTTTACTTACTTCAACATGTAAATCGCTGAATCTCTCTTCTTCCATGGAATTGTTGGCTCGTAATATCAACCTGGAAACGGAAAGAATAGTTAGAGGATTCTTAACACAAAGTTTACTTATTTTTATTTGCTAGAGGAGACTAAGCTTCTTTGGATAACTAACTAGCTGGTAAAATACTCCAGCGCTGTAAATGCCGACGATGTATAATATCGACTCATTTTAGTTTTTAATAATTTTGTCTATAATGTTTTACGAGCTAAGAACGACGGGGTCAGAAGAGAAGTAGCGGTCAGAAGGGACCTGGTCTACTCATTCTTAATTATATATATTTAATGCTTAACTTAACTTATTATTTTTATTATTAACCTTAAGTTACGCTTTATTATTTTATACGTTAGGTATTATATGGCTGGGATATTACTTCCTCTATCAAGTAAACCCCGTGCTTGTCTGTCCTCTATAAAAAACCGCTAAGACATAACAGGCCATCCCTCTTGCTCGTCACGTTAATTTAAACCACATAACAGAGACAAGAACAATATTTCTATCTTTCTCTTTCTTGCCTCACCTACTTTACAGCTAAATCTATACTAATATATAAAGCTAAAAAGTTTGTATGTTCGTTTAAAAGCGCTAATTTCGGAACTAAAAGTGTTATTTTAAACATTCTTATTGGGTTCGGTACAGATTTTAGAGTAGGAGCCAAAAAACCAGTGGGGGATGTGGTAAAAACGGGGAAATATTTCTTTTGTAAGATTTTCGATGCGTGCACTGCAAATACGGTTCTAGATAGCCAAAAACATGTATGAAAGAATGATTTCTCTAAAAATCTCTTGTAAGATTAACTTGCAAAAAGGACGGGAAGCAACGAAATTGGTACCCAAAGTAACTAATTCACGCAGTCAAAGTCGCGGTTATAGCTAGTCATAAGAAATAACAGCATACCTGAATATTCCATCGGCATAATGTATCAAATTCTTCATAATTCTCATTTCTCCAGTTGTGTTATTGACAACGATTACATCAGTGATATTATTGAGAGATTTAGATTTAATTGGTGACTCGAAACTCATGTTTACAATGCTGTAGTCTATGGGGAGTGCATCAGGGTCCCTGTCTGTCGCCCTAACTATAGCTATTGTGGTGTCTACAGCTACGTTGAGACGGACGCCAATTGTCATGTTTGTTGTGTCGAATTCTGGGAGATGGTCATCTATGTCTTGTATTTTGATGGCGATTTGGATTTCTGATGGGTCCTGGAAAATGAAATATTTAATTTAAACAAAACTCATTAATAAATTTAAAAAATTTTTTTTATTAAGTTGAGAAAATTCGTTGACGCGGGTAGGACTTGAAGCGGCACCCACCGTTACGTGCTGCTGTAAATTAGGTCCTGTCCTTATCGTCAACTTGTAACCATTTATATATTATACCTCGCGATGTTTTTTACATTTGAGATTTAAATTTCTACCAACAATCTATATAATTAAAGGTTTTTTAAAATGTCATTATTAGTAAAAAAATAGTAATAAAAAAGCCGAATAAATCATCAATGATAGTCGTGCTTGTCTTTCAAAAATATTTCCATATTTTTAGAAATAGAAGATTAAGTGACAATAAAGGAATCATGTGCTCCTGGACAAAGAACCTTACCAATCGATTATAAGTTCTACCATATCTGGATGTGGCGCCGAATTTGAAACATTTGACAGTTATCAAAACCCTCGACATTGCCTCTCTATCAAGTCGCGCAGCCGCTTTGATAAGTGCTTCGTTGTTAGAACTCCTTTCCAGCTTTATGTACTCCAGTTCATTTCCCGCTGAAAATATAAGAATTATATCTGGTCCTTTAATAAAACACTTTACTTAAAACGTATATTGTAACTTTTTGAAATATTTTTATGGCCCGACGTTTCCGTCTCCCCGTGACCACGGCTGCTTCAACGCATCCGAAATCGCTACGTAGTAGTGTCTTATTTAGATGTGTACTACTTGCGTAGAACTTCATACATTATTTTTCTGGCTTATTCTAAAACGCCAGACTAGACTTAATTGAAGACTTAAGTAATCGTTAATCAAATCTCTACGAGTAGCTATACATCTGTCTAACTTATCTTTTGTGCCGTCCGCTCGCTGATGACTTAATTAATTAATAATTAATTCTTCCGAGGAGCTCGCGATGAAACGTCGAGAACCTCTTTACGGTCACGTCTGCCAAACAGCCCGAAAACAATGTTAAACTGAACGATGCCCGTGAAAGCCTTACACAATTTATTAATTCTATAGAAGTTACTTTTTATGCTTTGATAATTTTTTTCACATTTAATGCTGAGGAGCTTTTATGACAGAGGATACTTGATATTCGGGCGATTTAATATCTAAGCACCTTGCGCTGTCAACTAGATTTGGAAATTCAGTAATCCACAGACTGGAAAATGTGGATTCACAATTTATCACTTTTCATTCTAAGACTACGTTCGTGACCAGGTAATTTAAAACACATTTAATTTCCCGATTCTTAATTTTTATGCTTCAGAAAAATTATCAATTGATTTTGAAAAACGATTGGTCCACGTTGAAATCTAACCGACGTCCCGTTGATTATCAGCCGAAATTGCCTCCATTAACAAAACGGGTAGTTTTTAACGTATTAAACTATGACAAAACTATATTTACATATTATTTTACCTATAATACGGTAATCTATCGCTGCATTGTCGCCGATATCTTCGTCAATTGCTTTAAGTTTACCAATTAAAGTTCCGATTGGTACTTCTTCCTTCGTTGTCATTAGTAGAGGCGGATCATCCTAAAAGAAAAAAAGATGTCAAAAGTTATTTACATTCAATTTAACTACGGCTCTACGTTTTAAATGCTTTGCAGCAGCCGTGCTCATGGGGAGAACATTTGTACACGACTTTAAATATGCGTTTTAAACCGTTATAATGTTTTATTTAAATGCGTATTCAAGTTTGCCGAAAGGTTTTATTTATAAAGAAAACACTTTAAAGGTTCAAACGTGATTTATATTAATTAAACTTATTTGGAGATTATTTTAACTACGGTCCGACGTTTCGGATACTTTGCTGTAGCCGGGTTCGCGGGGAGGCCACGTAATTATGATTAAGGAGGACAGATAAGCATGTGGTTTATTTGATGGGAAGTGAAATAAGCCAACCAAATAACATCTACACAAGATGCGCTGTCGATCTATTTTGGCTTTGGATATTCGGAAATCCACAGACTGAAACCGAAACGCGATTAAACTTCACGGCTTTTTCATCTGTGGACGGTGGTTCGTAACTCGGACGGAATTTTCTATATTTCTACCACCCATTTGACATCCAGATTTCCAAACGAAGACCAACATGTTTCAGACAAATTATAAACTCAAAGATTAGATCATGTTGGTCCCGATGGGGATCAAATTGACGACCCGTTGATTATAAGCTATGGCTTATATTGCTACCATTAGACCAATGAGCCCGTCGAATTATCTTTCTTTAAGAAAAGAATGCCTACCAGATTCCTTGCAAAGTGAGGTTTATGGTCGTCCACATCTGTTACATGGACAGTTACAATACGTGTGCTTTGCTGCGGGGGGGAGCCGTGGTCTGATGCGGCGAGGACCAGTGTGTAAGCAGCTTTACGCTCCCGGTCTAGGGACTGACGTGTTGTTATGACCCCTGTCTGTGGATCTGAAAAGACAATTTAATTTATTTATTTACTTTACACATATCTACCCGGAATAGATAAGTTTAAGAAATGTTGAACCTGACCTTAATGTATATCAACATATAAAGCTGCATAGTCTGTTTGTTTGTTTAAACGCGCTACACATTTAAATAAAACACTTTAACGGTTTAAAACGCGATATATTTTAGTTTAACTTGTTTTAAAATTATTTTTAACTACGAACGAAGGTTAACTAAAATATATCGCGTTTTAAACCGTTGAACTGCTTACTATATATACTTGAAGAGGACTGACAAGCATTTGCATTAATTTCATAGAAAATGAAATACCACAGTCATATAATGTACTATGTATGTGTAATGTAATAGATGAACTGTTAGCCAGATTAGATGTCTTATGTTAGCCAATAGGGCTAATAATCAATGGGTAGACTCTATCCAGGTTCATCATGTTTCGAAGTTATAATTTTTCTGAAACATATTAGACTTCGTCTGGAAACCAGCATATTGGTTGGTAGGAACATCAAAATTTCGGTCGGGTCACAAACCACCGCCTACAGATGAAGATTTCCGAATATCCAAAGACAAAATAGGTCGGCAGTCATATGGGCGAGGTATTTCACCTTCAAGTATGCTTGTCTGTCCTCGTCTATCATAAAAAAAAACTAACTTGCCCGTCGGGATCACTTCAAATCATTCTCTCACCTAAGCTAAACACTGCAGAATCATCACCAGTTCGTTGTATGTGATAGGTTAATTGACCTGAGGGTTGAGTGGGATCATCTGGGTCACTCGCCACAACTTGAAATACTGTTGAGCCGATGGTAGCATTCTGTAAATATAAAAATCATACAGGGCATATATCTACCATACCTAACAGCTACACATTCCGAAGCTAATGTTCTGAGAAAGGAGTAGCTATTTACACACATCACACTTATTTTACTTGGTAATAATCCCTTTTTTTTACTGATGGTGTGAATGCCTAATGCACGCCCCAGTCGGGCAAGTGTGCCGTGGGTAGTATGGTAAATCGTATAGCCGATCAGAACCACTAAACACACCACCAGCCCTCTACGGTGCTTAGAGGGAGCCCTTGTTGTACGTGGTAATAATGCGTAGACAATGACAAAATTGTCTACAGGCAGTTGTTTCATTTCTATAGAAGAAACGAACGATTAAAAGAATATAGCGAATACTATATAAAAACCTCCAACCAATCCAATAGTATCCATAATAGGTATACTTTCAAAGTATACACATTACAAGACGTTAACAACTCAACAACACGAAAACAATGTTTGTGTAACTACAAACTCCATATAACGTTTGCTGTGTCGGTTTTCGGTACTGTCAACGGTAATAAGATCAAAAAGTAAAGTATTTAAAAATAAAATATTAAAAACAAAAAGCCAATAGTTTTCACCTCACTAATGTGTAAATCCTCTCCTTCAGCAGGTCGAATGAACCTCGGAACACCATCGTTAGCGCTCACATCCCCAATGTATATAGCAAGTGACGTATCCCCCGAGTGAGCACCGCCATCCGTGGCCCCTACCAAGAGGCGATAGGGGTCAGTCCGACCTCTACCTGTGAGTTCTTTGCGAGTTTTCACTTCTCCTGTTGTAGGATCTATTGTGAATAAACCTAAAAAATAAATATTGCTTACTGTCTGTAGTTTAAGTGAGTAGCTCCCATTTAAATAAACGTTAACGGTATAAAACGCGACGTTGTGAACCTCGAAAGCCGTAGTTAAAATAATTTCCAAATAAGTTTAACTAATATATGTCGCGCTTTAGACCGTTAAAGTGGTATATTTAAATAAATATTGCTATATAAACTTTGAAATCAATATTAAATACTTTTATAGTTCTTGTTAAGTGTACGAATTGTTATAGGTACGTATGTTATATTAAGACTTAACTCTACTATTCATTACAAATCGTGAGTTAGATCTTTACTTTCTACTTATGTAATTCTTAGTCCATTACAGTAGATCAACGCTTTTTAGCTTTCTATTTAAAAATCTTAGTCCTCAACATTTTCTTAATCATTGTTGTTATTGCTTCATTTTTAAATGAATTAACTCCTACTATTACAGAATTCTTGTTCCTTCGTCCAAAACCTATCAACCATGAATAAGTACCGATGTGAAACGATTTGTTTCGTTTCATACTTACTATTAGCCTCTCCTTCATCAAGGAATTCGTATTTTATCTCGCCACCTAAGCCTTCATCGGGATCTATTGCAACCAGTTTAACAACACTTATACCAATCGGAACATTTTCAGGAACAACCGCTGTAAACAATAAAACATTTTCATCCTGATATTTTAGTACCATGTAAGTTAAATTGCTTTTGAAAATTTCATAAGTCAAGTACTTAAATTCAATAGACATAAAGTAAAAGTGAAGATCATAAGGTTTTAATATTCTAAGTACCTGTATAAACTGATTTCTCAAAAGAAGGTGAATTATCGTCTACATCTAAAACGTCTAAGAGTATTATCGACGAAGATTTGAGTCTTTCAGCGCCACCTGCCGGAGTGTCGAAAGCTTCAATTTCAAGTCTGAGAACTGATTGACGTTCACGATCTAGGGTTTTATTTGGAGCTACCTGGAATCGTAAAAATACGAATTAACTTTGAGGAATATTAAAAGGTACATGAAAGGTTCCTCAAAAGATAAAGAAGAGAGAAAGAAGAAAAAGAAGAACTATGATGAATACACTACAATAAGTATAATTATGACTCCAAAAGGGCATTGTCGATGATATTATTTTTAGGAATCATAAAAGGCCACTGGTCTTTAAAATAAATACAATACATATAAACGATATGTGTATTTCGTAATTGTTATATATATATTTTGCTTCCAATTCTTTAGTGTTATAGTGTAACATGAGAATGTCAATCTTCGGATCGTTGTTAATTAAGAATTCGCATTTTCACCCGTTTAGTATCTTCAATATACCTTAACAGTTTCAAATTTATGTTCGTTCTATTTCTCGCTGAAACTTACCTGTATAACACCAGTAGATTCATTGATGACAAATAGTTCCGTATTTTCACCCCTAAGCGCATACCGCACTTCAGAATAACCCTTTGCTTTATCTGTTTCTGTCATGACAGCATCTTTATCCTTCGCTTTCACAGTGACAACATGCTCAGGGTATATTATCGATTCCAAAACGCTTACTTTATACAACTGTAATTAAAATAATAAGGTTTTGTTATTATATTCAGTAATTATAATAATTTTCAGGATATAACGTTGCAAATAAACCTTTAGTTATATAGTGATTAATCTATCCACTTACCTCTTTTTCAAAAACGGGCTTATTATCATTAATATTAATAACCCCTATCACAACTTTTGCATTACTGTGTTTCGTTCCGTCGTTACTAGTCGCTTGAACGGTTAGTGTCAAGTTTGGACTTTTCAATTCTTCGTAATCTAAACTTGATGTTAGCACTACTTGACCACTAAACGGGTCTACCTGAAGCAAACTACTTTCTGTTTCAATAACTTTGAAGTTTGTTATTTTCGAATTAGTTATTGGATCTTCCGCCATTAATACTAGCACAGTACTTCCTATTGGTTGTTCTTCTTTGATTTTATGATGTATTAGGGGGTTTGCACTACTCCATCCAGGGTTAATAAAACGCGGGTTATCATCTGCGTAAGGCTGTATATAAATTGTATGTTCTATCGAAGCGAATTGTTCTTTGTTTAGCTCTGCATTAATATCTACTACTTTAACTGTCAGTATTACTATAGACGCTTGGCTGTAATCCAACTTTCCATTTACAGTTACTTCACCTGTGTCTTCATCTATACGAAATAGATTTTTATAATCGTAGTTGGAACCAGGTTTTAATTGGATACCGGCTTTGGAGAAAGCCTTCACAGGATCTATGATGTAGTACTTCAGCTTCGCTGATATATCTGTATCGTAGGCTATAACTTGAGTGACAGTCATATTGATTGGTGTTCTTTCTGATATGTATGTAGTTGATTCCGTTGTGTTGAACACCGGTGGTTTATCATTAACATCCGCTATGTGAACAAATACTGTAGTGGTTGCAGTTTCAGGAGCGGGGCGACCACTATCTACGGCTGAGATGATTATTTCGTATCGATCCGCGTTCAAGTCGCGATCTAAATTGGCGTCACTGGATACTGTTATGAGACCGGTGCTAAAAGAGGAATAAACGTTGTTTTTATTGATAATAAATGATAAAGGAATAACAAATTCATTATTAATGTTATAAAAGAAAATACGGCCGATACTCAGAGATGCAGACATAAAAAAATGTATTTGTGGTTCTGCCCTCGAAACTGACACTGTTTTAATGGAATCTATAAAACTAAATACTGTCTATAGTTTACGCGAGTAGTACACATTTAAATAAAACACTTTAACGGTTTAAAACGCGATATATTAGAAAACTTATTTCCCCGCCACCCCGTGACCACGGCTTCTGCAAAGCATCCGAAACGTCAGGCCGAAGTTAAAAATCATTTTCAAATAAGTTTAACTAATATTTCGCGTTTTAAACCGTTAAAGTAATTTATTTAAACCTATAAAACTAATTTAACAATTACTCAATATGGAATCATTTTAGTGTGTATGATGTAATATAAAATTACCGCTCATTTATAACGAAATTATCCTTAGACCCAGATAGAATATGGTAAGTCAGTAAGTCATCCAGGCCGTCTGGATCATTAGCGATGACCGTTGTCACATTGTCCCCAGGTTTAGCATCTTCGCGTATACTCGCTTTGTAGTTCATTGGGTTAAGGTCGAAGGTGAAATCTTCGTTCACGTCATCTCGTTGGTTGACTGTGTATTTGTAGTGGTGATAGTTTCCCTTAAACGTAGGACGTTGGTTTCCAGGTACACCGACTCGAATGTACACACGTGTTTCATTAAATAGCGGCGGGGTTCCTTTAAACAACAATGAAAAGAGTGTGATAAAGCTAAGGTACACATTTATTTATTTCATTTTCTATTTAAGCAATTGTCGTTGGATTAAAATAACAAATTAACCTTTGTGTAGATTATAATGAAATGGATTTGTTCATGCGAATAAATTATTTGGTACTAATACCACTTATGGTACTAATAAGCTTATTGAATATTTTTTCCACACTTCTTATATAATATCTCTATGTGTTCTTTAAATCTCTACAATAGATATGAGTGTGTAGTCAAACAACTTGTGCTTAACAGAATTAGATTTTAATTAAATTAAAGTACATATTTTGTTAACAAATTAAATAAAAAACTGATACAAATGATTCATTATATTAAAATATAATATAAGAAGAAAATTCGATAATTTATTACCGTAATCAGTCGCTCTAACGAGCAATTCGTACTGTCCCCTTGGTGTGTCCATTGTCTCAACCTTGTCTACTATTTCCACTTCTCCCGTTTCTTCATCAATGCTGAACACTTGGCCTTTGTGTGTTATACTATTGTCGGATTCTAAAGAATACAGTACGCGACCTCCGCCTTGTGTTTGTCCATCTATATCTGTCGCCTGAAATAAACAAATATGAACGACTGATTGTGCTTTAATCGTAAAAAAAAAACATTACAAACTAGAATTACTAGCAGTAAATAATATTTATACACAAATTTTAAGTAAATAAGTAATTTTAGTTAGTTTACTTAGAAAGAGATGTAAATTTTAAATTTCTTACCCGTATAACGAGCTGTGGTTCAAAACTAGTAGCGCCATCTCGTATTGTGCGGCTATATTCGGATGCCTCAAACATCGGTGCATTATCATTCACATCCAAAACATCAATGAAAATACTAGTCGTTGAGCCTTTTCCACCTCCGTCTCTCGCAAACAGAGTCAAACTATAACTCTTTTGCGTTTCATAATCTAATTCCCTCGCAACATATACGCCACCTTTATTTCTATCAGTTTTAAAATAATGAGCACCAAAACCGCTTAAAGTATATTCTATTTCACTGAAAATTCCATAGTCCTTATCAGTAGCACTAACATCACTAATTTTGGTCCCAACCGGAGCGTTTTCTAAAACATTTAACTTGTACTGCTGTTCTTCAAACGTTGGCGCATTGTCATTGACATCTAATAGCTTTACGTTAACTCTAGCTGACGATAATTCTCTATAATTTAACGAAGCAACGATATCAAAACTAAAAAGTCGTTTATCTTCATCTTCTACATCATAGTCGAGTTTAGCCGAGTCTCTTACTTTAATACTTAGAGGCGTACGTCCTTCGCCGTGCTCGGTGCTGAGTGCAAATACACCTTCTGAATTTCTTATATTACGTAGTTTTAAATCATATTTGCTGTTCTGACCTAAGTCAATATCTTCGACATAAATGGATAATCCAGGAATCGGACTACCATTATCTATGTTCTCAGGTATAGATACGTCAAATACTTCCTTATTGAAACGTGGTGAATGATCATCAACATCTGTTACAATAACGGTAACCGGTATGACTGTGAAATCGGATGGCACTTCGTTGTTTATAAGTTCTGTAGCCTGTAACACATACATTATTAGATTTATTTTTATCATTTATATTTAGAGAAACTGCACACAAAGTATAGTTTACTATTGTTATGAAGAAAATCAATTTTTTTTTAATTATGATCAATTTTAAATATTTTACCTTAATAGAAAACGTATAAACTCCCCCATTTTGTACTACAATATCACTTTCCCTATCAATAGGGTTGTTAGTAGTGACCAAAGTGGCTCTACCAATTGGCCTACCGGGAAGAAGTTGGAAATACATTTGGGAATCTTCCTCGAGTGTTAACAGTACTTGTCTTGGATTAGCTGTGTCTCCATCCTTCGCTATTATTTCTAGAATACTCGTACCCTGAAAACATAATAATACCTTAAGTCACTGTAATATCGTATCAATAAGCAAATAGTCATCTTTGATTTGAAAAAAATATAGTAGTTATTAGACACTGGACTTTTTTTCGCTACCTAAATTAATATAAATTTATATTGGAGGTTATTAAAAACCATTTCATAGGATCTACAATTCTTCAGTTTATTTTCGTAACGTAGCATGGAAATGTCAAATGTTATGGATACTCAAAAAAGACCTTACCGCTGGCGTATTTTCCGGCACTGTAGGGGAATATGGGGCATTGAGAAACACCGGAGGCTGATCTTGCACATCTCTTATACCTACGGAGACGCTGGCGGTCGTTCTTAAAGGACGAGCTGATTGGTCTACGGCTTCTAGGCTTATCACGTACGCAGAACGGCTTTCAAAATCGAGAGGCTTCGCGAGGAAGATCCTAACTTGATATTTGTTTGGTGATATCTGTAAGATTTGATTGAAAGGTCTGTTTTTATATTCAGTAGATGTATTTGGACGGTCCTTATTAAAAATTGTATCTCTTAGTCAGCGTAAGAAGAAAAAAGTTAAAATTCTTTAAAACATTCCACAATATTCTTTATAGATTAATTTATCATCGTAATGTTTGAATTTAATACTCAGTTTAATTTTAAAATATCTATATATAATATTGCTTGTAATTACCATGTCTGTAACGATTCGAAATGTAGAACAGGCCTCAAAGTCACTTCCCCTCTCTTTGGTGGAGCAAGAAACGCGAATTTTTGCATTCTCCTCTTCGTCAAGATCGGTTACCAATATTTTTGGAGATACCTGAAACCAATTGTGTTCTAGTTAATACATTTTTAAGCAAACGGTACGCAGTATTAATGTTGGTGTTTACTGTTATAACAGTCTGTCGTAAGTGTCAAATAGTCGTAGATGTAATCTGTCAAGTTAAATTCTGTCTGTGGTTTACACGAGTGGTATACATTTAAAACAAACCTTTTAACGGTTGAAAACGCGATGTATATTAGTTAAACTTATTTGAAAATTATTTTAAGTATGGCCCGAAATTTCGGATACTTTGCAGCAGCCGTAGCCACGACTAAAGGGATACTAAAGATGGAGAGTGCCTCGGACATCAAAGTAAAAACTGTTACGCTAGCGCCATCTTCCGTCATCAAGTTGGTATTTAGCATAACTTAAATTCTAAATGAAAGAATGAGGCACCGCCTCTGAAGCTAAATGGTGGGGATCGAATCCCGGGGAAAGGGGAGATTGTTTCGGTCGGGAAGGGCACAACTGTTCAACTACTTGTCTGTAAATAAAACCGGTTAGTGAAAAGGATACTCCTTCCCCCATGAAGGGGGGCGAGATTTTACAATTCAAATAAAATAGATTACTCATATTTAATTTATTTTCGAAACTAAGTTTGAGTTTACCAATATTTTACTTATTTTAAAGTTTGACAAGTGTTATTAAACAGCATATGACGCTAAACTAAATACAATACTTAGTTGATGCTTACTTCAATTTCACTTTCAACAAGTGTAGCTTCACTGATATTAACAATGTAAGGCCGATTGTGGAACACAGGAGGATTGTCGTTTACATCTTTTACGGGAATAACGCGGCGGAGCGAGACAGTATTCGGCTCGGTATCAGCTATTCCCTCATCTGGAAATAATATGTACAGAATGTAAAGATATAATTAATATATACTAGCATAATTAACTTTTGTAAAATGTCCGACCCACCGACCGATCGCAAAAGACCCAACGACCCGTCGAAATGGCTAGTAACCGTTTTAACATATATTAACTAGCTGTGTTAGACTTCGTCCGCGAGAATCGTTATTTTGGGCCTCCAAATTCGTTTTTGCAAACCCATTCCTTTTCAATTCAACCTTTTAAACTTAAGCTGATAAACACGCACCCCTTCCCGTCGTACTTGCAAGTTAATCTTAAAAGATAGACATAGCTCGCGGACGTTTTTTAGATCATTTAAAGAGAAATCATTCTTTCCTACATATTTTTACTATTTTTTGGGTATCTTGAACCGTTTTTGCAGCGTACGCCTCGGAAACCCACAAAGATGAATAAATTTCGCCAATTTTTCCAGATTTCCCGCTGTTTCTTCGCTCCTAGTAATCACAGCGCAATGTTTTATAGCCTATATCTATATTCCTGGATAAATGTTCTAATCAACAAAAAACATTTTTTAATTCGAAGCAGTAGTTCCTGAAAATAGCGCGTGAAAACATACATACGAACACTCTCTAATCTCTAACACTAACTCTAAAATATCTATGTAACGTGTGTTTTTAGCGTAGCGTTTTAAAAGTGTGTGTGAATCTTTGATGCAAAGTTATAGTCGAAATATACCTGTTATACTGATTATGACTTCGAGGGAGGTCTGCTTTTCTCTGTTTAGGGATTTCGCCAGCGTCACCACACCAGTCACAGGATCCACGCTGAAGTATTGACCAGATATCGAATATCGTAGTGGACTGTTATCGGGATCGATTCCTGGGAAAGAAATTGAGAATTGGAGTTGATATGTTAAAGGGCTTATTATATACTTCTTCTCCAAGTAAGCCTATGTGAATTAAAATAAGATCTACATCAATATTTAAATTGTCATAAGATGTTATCAATTAACAATTCCAAAATATAATAGCGATTTAAAAAAACACAAAATAACGTGATCTTGTTTTATATGATATAGATCTGAAAATTCTCAATATACGTTGTATGTTAAAAGAGACATAAACGGTTAAGAATTTTGATCAATATACGTACATTATGCGACATTACATTAATATTTAAAAAAAATTTTAATTCACATTAAAACACATGCAGCTAGTACAAAATAAAAGTTACCAAAAGAGATATCAGAAATCGAATTAAAAGTTTTCCCTTTTAGATTCAAAAATATATGAATGTAGCGCTACCTGGGGTTGGCGAACTCTTCGGCCATCGTAATTAAGACATGGTTTCGACTAAGCGAAGAATGAGGATCACTCATATTGTAACAACGGATAGCAAAAGCGAATTTTAAAATACAAATTATATATTGTACTCTTTTTATTGATAGAGGAGGACAGACGAGTAAAATACCCCATCTAAACCAGATGCGCTATCGACCTATTCTGACTTTGGATATTCGGAAATTCACACATTGAAACCGAAAGGCGACTAAACTTCACGGCCTTTTCATCTGTGAACGGTTCGTGGCCCGGACTGAATTTCTATATTTCTACCACCCACCATCCAGGTTTCCAAACGAAGTCCAACATGTTTTAGAATAATTATAAATTTATTAGAAAAATGTTTGACCCGGTGAGGATCGACCCACAACCCGTCGATTACTATCAGTACATTGCTACCATTACACAGCCCGTCGCTTACATAACTTACCTTTTAACTGGTATACAGGCGTTCCAACCGCAGTATCTTCAGCCACACTAAATTGAGACATATCTCCTGACTGCGGGACGAAATGTGGGGCCCTGTTTATTACTTGGGCCCCACAGAGGACCACACTTAATAGGAAAATAACTAGAGGCAGCGGGTCGACCAGGACCGTAGCCGCTTTTCTTCTTTGGAAAATTATTTCGGCCATCTGAAATAGTCAAATATTTCATTATTATGTATGTTATAGAATATTATAGTATTTTAATATAAAACTTGGTGGGTATTTATTAAAAGTTGCTGTTAAGTAAAATTATGAGTTTTTAATGCGAAAACATTACGTATGCAAAAATTTATAATATATGTAATCATCTCATTGAAGTGATGTTAGTTGAGTATCTGTAGTTTACGCGTACAGAACACATTTTAAATAAAACAATCACGGTTTAAAACAGTTTTAACGTCTTAAAACGCAAAATATATTAGTTAAACTTACAAATATTGACCACGACTTTTGTAAGGCATCCAAAATTCGGTTAGTAGTATAGTTAAAATAAATGGTAAATAAGTTAAACTAATATATTGCGAACCCAAAAAATTTTTATTTTAAAAGAAAATTTTTGAGTATTAATAGATAATAGAATATCTATTACAAATATAAATTGTATGATAAAAATTTTAACAAAAGAAACTTTACAAAAAACAAAGTGATTTTTTCACTAAAAATACACTCCGAAAAGGAAGTTAAGGTTACGAGTACGTTTTGTTTCTTTCTAAAGCAATTGGGTAATTGAAGACATATAATTAATTAATTAATTAATCACTATTAAGCAAGTACGTTACCATGAGTAGACGTAACAAAAGAAATTTGTGTTTAATTAATTAAGGTCGTTGTTTAATTCATAAAAACGAAAGTAAGAAAAAGTTCGTTTAATTATTTATAGTGAAACTAAAATATACGATGATTACAAATATGTTCCTAACATTGTAAGAAACATTTCCTATATTGGCATTTGATAATCGGAAATCCATTCGTTAGAATAGCACGGAACACTGTGGATGCCGGTTCAATTCGCGTGTCGTAAATATTTTCAAACTTATATTATATTATAGTAAAACTACAGCTTTTCAATTTATCAAGATTTTTCATTCGAAGTCTAGCAAGATTCAGAATATATAAATAGATTTTAGATACATGTTCGACTCGATTGGAATCGAATCACAATCCGTTGATTATTAACCACTAGATATGAATATAGATATTAAGCACTAGAATTTAGTTTGCGTTATTTTGGCCATCAATGTTTTTCAAACCTCCCCTTCATCTTTAAAAAAAGCTGTTACCCACAACACCGGTAGCGTCCCATCGTTCTTGCAAATGAATCTTAAAAGATTGACATCGTCTTGGACTTTTTTTACATCGTTAAAAGATAAATCATTATTTCATAGACATTCTTTGGTATCTTGAAATCTTGACTCAAAAAGGGTAACTAGTTTTTTCCCGCTGCTTCTTCGCTCATATTAGTCACAGCCCTCTGTCTGATCAACACGAAAATAATTGTTCAATTCGAACTAGTAGTCCTTAAGATTAGCGCGTTTGAACAAACTCTTCAGCTTTATATATTAGTAACATTGCTACCATAACACCATCGAAATATACAAAGAAATGTCTCCACTATAAACCAGGCTAAAACAGAAGAGTCTTTCAGGAAGGAAGTAGGGTATACCTATAACCGACTGAAGTCAATGCACTTCCCACAATGGGCCGTGGGAATCAGCTAATTATAATTAGATACTCTTGAGTTTGTGTACTCGTTACTTTCTGTACGTGACTTATTTCCACATATCTTTTAATACTCAGCAATATTGCGCTAACAAAGATGTGGGTTTGATTACGAATGCTTTGTAATCTATTGTATTTAATTTTATTAAGAAACAAAATGTCGGTATTAATTTTCAAACGTATTTATGTTATGACCGCAACTAGCTAAATGGTTGAACGTGTTAGCATTGTGTTAAGCGAGAGAGTCTAGGGTTCGAATCCTGGGGAAACAATAGACTGTTTCGGCCGCACAGGCCACAGAACAGACCAAAGATTTTATTTTTATTTTACTAAACCTACGTCAATACGAGTATATATACCTACTTACGTACGTTTTATTTTTAATAATAATTTTAATACATAGTACCTATAAATTTTCTTATTCAGTAATAAATAGACCAATTACGTGTAGTAATACATAAGGGTGCAGTAACTAATATTCTTACAAGTTGGTAACATTTTAGATTTTAACCCTTTTTAGTCAGGTGTCTGTACAATTTATTAAAATCGAGACACAAATGCGTGCTTGTGATTGACTACATTTTGAAAACTTATATCAAAAAGGGTTCCGTAACGGTAATATTTTTACCATTAAACAACGAGTTTTGTAGTACATATTTAGGTGTACCTAAGTAACAAATCTTCCACAAAGATACAACTTAAAAATAACTTAAACATGATATCCGGGTTTTTCTATCGACCCTTAAAACGTTAAACCACATTTCCTATGAGAAATTACGAAATATCCTTGATTACTAAAATTTTACTCACCTTTGACTTTTTAATAGTCCGAGTTCCAAAGACAACACACTCTACACTATAAATTGAATTTATCCAACGCTTTTGTCATTTTTAACACAGTTTATATTATTTTATTATATTTATTTATACGCAACACATCTTACACACGACTGTTTTAAAACTGTCAAAAACTTGCACTACCGGTCTCGAATAGATAGATTAAGCTATCTCGCTCGCACTTTTTAACATCACTAATAAGTAAAACAGGGACAGCTATACGTCAGATCACTGTTATTGCAGATAGCGCCTTTTGCAAAGGTAAAAGTAACGGTGTAACTTAAGATGCGTGAGATGAGAGAGATATATAAGGTCACATCTATGTTAGAGAGAGACGCAATATGCAGGTCATGTTGTGGAGAACGGAAAAGTTGCATTAAGGTCACGGGAACGAAAAAAGCTGCGTGGACGCTGATTCGTGGATGTATTAAGGTTTTAAAATTGGAATTACGCTATTACTTAGTGCCGGATTTGGATTAAATCCAGGATACTTAATTAATATCTTTGAGGAAAATTCTTTCAATATCTCTAAACTTAATTTTTGTTTAAATAGAATGTAGGATATTCATCTACATGTTCAAATCATCTTAATAATAATTGCCACACTTTAAAGAATAATTAAGTAAGCCTACAACAATATTAAGAATATTATGTGTTTCTTAACATTTGCTTTGCGTATATATCAGGCGCAAAAATTTTGGGTGTGTAATTCGATAAGTATTGTACCGTAGCATGTTATGTTTTTAATTTTGAACAAGAAATAATTATTTGATAGTAGTATAGGTAATATGTATTTTAGGTATAAACGTCAATTTGTAATCTATACTTCCATACGAAGCTGAAGAGTTTGTTTGTTTGCTTGAACGTGCTAATCTCAGTAACTACTGGTTCGAATTGAAACAATATTGGGTAAATGATTCATAATTATGGGTTTCCGAGACGTACGCTGCAAAAACAGTTTAAGTTACCCAAAAAATATGTAAAGAAGGAATCTTTAGTATGATAAAAAAAGTTATAGGAATCCGCGATATTATATGCCTACCTTTTTCTTACCTTCCTTAAGTCGCTGACACAGCTAGTTAATTATATAAATATGTATATTGTTTTATTAAGCCTAAACTTAGGGGTATAAATTGTCTGTCGTGCAACGAACTGCGACCTCTTTTGTGTTATCAATGGTAAGATAGTATGGTCAATAGAAACTTGAGTTTCTAAATAATTGTCTGAAGCAACAATTATCTTATATCATGCATGCATTAAAGAGTAATTAGTATTCTAAGAGTGGGTACCGTGACGATTTGCTGTTGTCTTGTACAAAGTAGGAAAATGCATTATGTATGTATTTTTATCTCTTAACGAAATACAAATTTAAACTAACCACTTCCTACGATTAACTTCTTGATTTAATTGTTGAATGCATTATAAAAGAGGCGAGAGATGCTGAGTTCGAATTCCGCGGAACATGGGGAAAGGATAAATGTATGATCTACTTTTAAATAGTATTTAAATAGATCAGTGATCAGTTTTTAACGATGGAGAACAGCAAAAAGTGGGGTATATATTAAACCAAGATGCGCAGTCTACTCATTTTTGGTTTTTAGGTTTCACAGACCGAAAGTGGTTCGCGATTGAACTTGAAGGCTTTTTCATCTGTGGACGGCGGGTCGTGACCCGGGTGGAATTTGCATATTCCTACCATCCATTAAATGTCCAGATTTCCAGGCGAAGAAATTCATGTTTCAGAAGAATTATAAATCGATTTTTAATACATTTGACCTGGTGGAAATCGGACCCACGACCTCGTTGATTATAAACCATACATTGTCACCATTACATCAACGAGCCCGTCCGCCCCAAAGCCCAATAAGAGGAAATTATGATGAATTTAATTTAGATTGTTCTGTATGTTTGTCTATATTGTCGTTTCGTGGGGTATATAAGACAGACATATTTCAGTGTTCGTTCACCTTGTTGACTATGTATACAGACTCGTACACACACACAGTAAACCGCTTTAAAAATTCCGAAGTAAATTTCGCTTTGCAAGATTAATTTTTATGATTTTTTTTATAAGGACAATATTATCTCTCTTTACTTTAATTGGACATTCCATAACTACATACAAAATACATAACAAAGAGGAAGCTTTACGTCGGAAGCTAATAAGCAAAGTAAGAAAAATTGCTTCCACTTGATAAGTGGTTTAGTATCTATTGATTGTAGAGTGTGCGAATTTTCTGAGTTCGTAATAAGAATCAAAGCAGCGCGAAAAAACTTTACAAAATAACGGTATCTATAACTTTAAATAAATAAATAAAGACAATACCTAATGTTATGTAAATTATTAGGTGTTCGTTGTGTTACTTTTTCCGTGATAAATAAGTAAATGAAAAAATGGAACCTTAATGTTTATTTTTATTTGTAAGGACAAAGATGAATAACATTTAAGAAAAGTGATTTGAAGAAGAAGAGGAAGCTTAAAGTTAAAAGTATATCGGTGGGCTAAGATAAGCAACGCATTGTTTAATAATCTGTAGGCCCCTAAAAAATTTTTTAAACGATTAAAATACAACGTTATCAGTTAATTTATTTTAAACTATGACCCAACATTGCGGATGCTTTACTACTTCAAATAAATTAACTAAAACATTAAACCAGTGTTTTATTTAAAGCGTTTTTAGTAATTTTCGCTAGATGTGTTCGTCCGATTCCTTTTAATCTCCACATACATTGGTACGTAAGTTGAACGTTGGAACGTTACTGACGTTTCCACCTTCTTCTTTCTATATTTCTCTGAGTTTTCGTGTAATAAAATATTTAGGCTCTTGCGTTTGGAACTTCTGTAATGCCCATTTATTGTCGGCACATATGTCTCGGCTGTGCCTTCTGTTGTAGTGCTTATGTATTCTTCGTCTTCTTCTTCCGAGTAATTTTCCTCCGTAGTATCGGTTGTTACTGGGATTTCTGTCGTAGTCTTCAAAATGTTCTTCAATTTAATTACCAATCTCTTATCTTCCGTTCGGCTACCGCTTAACGCAGCGCTATCGAGGTCTACCTTGTCAAAAGACTCGACAGTACCTTGAACATATCTCTCATCTAAATCAGATTCAGTCATATAACTGGCGTCGGATTTACGTAACGTCAAATATTCATCGGGAATTTTCGCGTCTTCGGGGCTAAACTTGATTATATCTGGGGGGTTTGTGGTAGTTGATTCGGTTGAAAAGTCCTGATGGTATTGTGGTGTGCCAAGGGTTGTTATTGGATATGTCGTTACAGGTGGATTTGCCCTGCTATGGACTGGTAGGACTCCTGAGCTTCCCGCATGATAATCTTCAATTATAGAGGAATTCAATACTGGCAATTGAATTTTGTCTAACCTGTTAATTGATTCTGTGCTTGTAACCGTTGTGGAAATGCTTTGACTACTATAAAAGTTGTTCTTGTAATCATTTTTTGATGCTGGGCTCTTCCTGATAGAATAAACATTGAAATGAACAACCATTTGAGGAACGGTTGTTGTCTCTACATAAGGTGTGTGTTGTGTTGAAGTAATATCGACATCTTTCTTGGTTGTACGTGTTTTCGATTTGAGCTTAAACGATGTTCTTCTGGGAGGTAAGTTATTTGATCTCTTCTTAAATTGATAAGACGGTCTTACGGTTGTTAAGTAAATTTGCTCAACCGGAGGAGTGCTTTTTACTTCAGGAATTGTAGAGTGCAATGGATATAAATTGAGCATCACCCCAAATGCAGTTGGCTTGCTCAGTAAAGCCGTTTGACTTAAGTCATTCTTATTTGTTGTTGGACTCGTGTCACAAATGTTTCCATGACACTTTTTCTTCTCATTAATTCGTTTAAATATTGGTGCGTTTTTATTGGTATGTTTTAAGTGCGACGTGAACCATGGAGAAAATTTGTAACCATCAGCTAATAAGTTTATGTCACCCGGACTATCTGGTTTAAATATGAACAAAGGATCTGATTGGTGATTTGATTTATGTTCAATTTTATTCGAGCTCCGCGGTGTGCTGCAATCTTCTGGAGCTTTAACTTTCTTCTCCTTTATCGGTGCTACATAGACACCGGAAAATGCGATTTGTGCTGTAGACGGTTCATAAATATCCCCGAATTTAGCGTTAAGGGTCTTTTCGAGGTATTTAATAACTTGGTTCAAGTTTTGAAGTCTTTGTGCATTTCTATAACTCTCAATCCAACTTCGAGAGTTAAAACTTGAACTAAACGGAGTAGGATTTGGACTACGATATTCTAATATAAACGGACGAGGCGTAGTCCTACGTATTGTCTTGTATGTGTATGGTATATTGCTGGTTTGGGAACGCTGCTTTTTCCTACCTGAATGTAATGGTATGATTTCACCATTTGGATCGACGTAACTATTCTCTTGCAAAGCATTAACAAGAAGAGGCATTCTTTCAAAATAGTCCTGATCGAAACCAAAATAGCTGCGATCGAGCCTATCGGCTATTGGCTGATCGTTTGTAAGCTTAAATTTAGATTGATTATTTTGTACTGCATACGTTTCTACTACTATTAAATACTCGTAGATTAGTAGAACTACCTGAAACAGAAATAGTTTGAGTAAATATTTAAAAAGGTGAGTTTACTGACTTTAGACGAATGTAAAAAGATTTTTATATATTTTTGCCTGACAGTCGAGAATATTATGAAATCAAATGCAAGAGATGTTGCTAAAATTTATTAAACAAGATAATCATCATTCCTTAGTATTATGGTGATTTACTAATTACTAACAATTATGAATAAATGAGGTACACGTGAATAATACAATTAGTAATATTTAAAATTAAGTTAGAATCCTTCGTTTTAATATAATAAATAAAATTATTCAAAAACATAATTATTAATATTTGTATCATATTCTATGACATTATTGCTCTCTTCATTTTGAACAATGGTATCACTTCTTTGCATTTCTAAATACGTCGGCCTATTCTGCGACATAATAGACTTGCTTATATTTTTTGCATGCTCTTCAATTTTAACCAGCTCCGACTGATATAACTCTGAGCTATTGGCTGTCCTCTGTTTAGGCTTATGAGTAGCTTTGTAGTCGATTTTTAAACTTTGTATCATATTCTCCACTTCTTTTAAAGCATCTTCCTCTCCATTGATTTCATCGTTAATCGATCTTTCCATTTCTTCTTCAAGTTTGACATGTTCTCGTTCATAAGCTTCTTCCGGGCGGTGTTCGTTGTTATAAACACCATTGTTCTTTATTCGTGGAGAATGAGGATAACGAACTGCAATAGGTTCTTCAATCGAATAAAATGTAGTATCCTTTACTGGAATTGTTTTGTTTTCATTTAGATTTAATACTAATAACGTTTCATTATACAGTACAGCATTGGAGAAGTTACTATTTTTATTTAAATAATTTTCTTTATCTGTATTATTTTTTATGTTATTTATGTTTAAATATACATTGTCTGTTGAATGGTTATTACAGTTTTTTGGCTTTTTAGTATACTTAAGGTCATTCAGGTTCTTATTATTTTTTATATATCTATCTGATTTGGTTGAAATCGTATTTTGTTTCACCAGCTCTATACTATGAGTATCTAATAAATCGAAAATATTTGCTACATTTGTGGTTGTATCTACATAATCAGCATAATAATTGTTATCTATGTTATCAAAAGAAACTATTGTAGATGAAGGACTGTCTATTTTATTATTAGGGGGTGACTTCTTAGAATTATTTGTCCTAAACAATTCACCTACTTTTAACTCTGGAACTTTCCTTAGGTATTTATCTTTCCAAAGGGTTTTAATACGCCTTTCAGATGGAATAAGAGTCAAATTGTGTTGGCTTTTGTTTTGAACCTCACGGGTTTCATTATTGTTTGTATTCGGTTTCAGTAATTTTAATATATTGTTGAACTCATGATAATTTTCAGTATTTCGAAGGAAAAATTTGTTTGACTTTTGTTTTGGTTTGTAGCTGTCAGAAGGAATTGCAATTGTAGTAGTGCTTAAAGTGCTTGACTTAAGTAAGCTCTTCATTGTTGACGAAAGTCTGACATCGTATTCTGATTCAGTTATGGGACTAGACTTTTCAACGTTGCAGTTTTTCCTTTTCTCCTCTTGATTATTTACAAATTCTGGTATAATTTTTTGAAGGCTCGTTATAAGTTTTCTTAGCAAAAGACTTATTCTTGCACAGCAATTACAATTCGTATGCTTTTCTTTTAGTTTTATTGGAAACGTACCATGCGTGTTGCTTGATAAAGTTTCTGGTTTATCTGTTTTGTAGATAGGTGTCGTTGCCTTTAGCATTGTTTTTTCATATTTATTTAAGTCTGGCTTTAGCATTGGCTGCGTGGAACCTGCAGTTACCTTGTCGCTAATCATTTTGTCCACATAATTCATCACTCGCTCGTAATCTCTAATTTTTCTCGCCTTCCGGTAATAATCTATGCTTCTTGTTGGATTTTTGAAATACACAATTGGCGAAGTCTTGAATTCAATTGCATACAGTCTAGATGGTGTCATCTTCATCCAGTTCCGAGTATCAGCAAATATATTCTTATGTATTTGGTCTGTTGTTTCTTTTACGTCGCCAATTGAATTTGGGCTGGTACTATCGTACAGATCTTGGTCGTAATATTTGTTTCTTGAAATTGCTTTTAACAGCACTGGTAGTAGCTTAATCGTGTTCTGGTCGAAGTTCAATTTGGATTTGTGCTTTACGTCGAAGGTTAAGTGGTCTGCACTTTCATTCATTAATCCCAGCCAATTGGATTTTACAGACTGTGTATTGCCGATGTTACTATATTCATATATGAGAATGATTATCTGAAAAAGAAAGTATCTTGTACAATTGCTGAATAATAAATTACCTATATTAGATATAAGTTAACAAGTTTTAAAGATAGCCATGTTAGAGACAAGCGACGTAAATAAATAATATACTTACTTACCAAATGATCCACAGAAGAAACATTTATTTGCATTAGTTACAAACACACAGGGCAACACCCATTGTTAATATTATATTTTTGGCTTGCACCAGTGGTACTAGTTAGTTAAAATTACATTTGTATTACGACCCAAATTTTTTATAAGTTTTTTATTAACTGTAGCCAAAAATACAATAAATATTAAGCTATGTATGATTATGTTAATGCACTTAGGTCAAGCAGGTAATTGTAATAGTCTTTTTAAACAAACTTTCCACATGCATTTGTGGGAACGAACTCGAAAAAATTTAATTAAAACAATTTCATCACAATTTAGCCCGATCTTGTTCACTTGTTTTGTGTATAATTATTATAGATAACTTAGAAGAAATCTTTAATTTTATTAAGCACTGTACTGTTTTCCTGCACAGTAGGAATGTTGACTTTTTTTAGGACAGTGTAAAATTATAGGTATTTAAATATATTTTTAATATTGAAGTTTAATTTAAGGTAAATTTAGACTTTTAAGGTTTTACAATTATGTTTTTAAAATCTTCGGAAACATTGAATTACCATAACCTAATAACGTTACGGCTTCTTGTGATCGAAGTGATAGTGGACTTAACAAAAAAAAAAACACAAAGAAATCACCAGAAAATTTATCTGTTTATGTTCCTCGTTTGGTAAAATTATTTTTTAATTAGCAATAAAATTAAAAAAAAGATCTATATATTTATATAGCAGAAATTACCAATTTCCATACAAATTATATTTATTTTAAAACACAGACTCTTTTTATTCTCACATATATTACAGATAAATATTGTCTGTAGTAGTACTGTAATAGTATTGTCTGCAGTTTACATAAAGCACTAACGGTTTAAAACGCGACATATATTAGTTAAACTTATCTCAACGTTTCCAATGCTTTGCAGCAGCCGTGGTCACGGGGGGTTAATTAAATTGTAATATTGAATAATATTATACTTACAGTGTAGCAAACAATTGATAGTCTTACATATAATTAAGAAAGTAATACCAAGAATGTTTATAGTCAATTATTAAATTTTCCTCCATATTAATCAACTAGATAAACAATCTCGATACTGCGATACTGAAATCTAATAGTTAACGACGATAAATGATTATTTAATGCAAGAATGTCGTGATTTGTCATACAGCACATCTTTATAGGAAGTAGCTCTCACTTTGAAAGAAGTATTCTTAGCAATTTCATCTAAGATATTATTCATTAAAAACTCTAATGATATTTTCTTTCAAGAGTTAAAATAATTGCACTTGAAATGACGTACAGTCAATAAATTATTTGTGTCATTTACGAGGCTCATTGATTATTTAAAATGGTTACCTTTGAATTTCACATTTTCCGTTAATTTTTCTTTAGAGTTTAAGAAAATCCAGTTAAAAACTTGGGAAAAATTGATTGTATTTAATTGTAATAGAAAATTGATTAACTTATTTGCAATTTACTATAAGTGACACCTGACCACGACTGCTGCATAGAATTTATAATGTCGGAATCAATTAGGAATAAGTAACGTAATAGCCGTTAAAAGTGTTTTATTTAAATGTGTACTACTCGCATAAAGTACAGACAATATTTAGTAGCATAAAAGATGTGATAAAAATTAAAACAGAGTGAAAATAAAAATTTAATTGTTACATATGTTTAAGTATTCAGGAGTCTAAGTGATAGTTTTTAAGAAAGATTTTATTTTATTTAAGAAAGATTACTAAAATCTGATACGAAAATTCCAAAATACCATACCTAATAACTCACATGGAGTCATCCCAGCTGTGGGAACGAAGTGATAACAAATATTTATCGACTCAATCGCATCAGATTTTTTAATATTTCTTATATAAAACACTTTTTATGCATATAATATTAAAGCACACTTACAATCACAACAATAACGGTTATAGCTGTAGATATAGCTGCACAGATACACCCTTGACGCAGCTGACGTTTCCTTGAAAGCCTTAAAAACTCCTCTGTCCGCGCGTCTATCGTCCTATATAGGCCGAATTGGCGAATACTACTTGTTGTGCTTTCACTAGACATTTTATCACATCACTGAGCGGTCGGGGAAAAAACAAAATGTTTGTTTGTTATAACGACGCTTGCGTCTGCGCTGAAAAATGTGAATTCTTTGTGAGTGTTCACGACAATGTGTTTTCCTTCGAGATTGTTGATGCGTAGTGTTGGGATGCGTGCTTTCATTGTTGCGCGATAGTTATCGATAGTTTGCTGGATTGTATATGACTTAATTATATGTAATACGAAACATTTTCAGGTAGTCAAGGTCAACTTTATTTAAGTACGTATAAAGTCTAAAAATAAAACATTGACTCTCTATAGAAATGAACAAAATAGTCAGAATTTTTAACATTGAATTAACTTTTAGAAAATTTTTTTCTTTAAATATTTTAACTAATCATCTAAAGAATGTTATATTTTAATACCAACATGTATTTATATATTTTATACTATTTTTGTATATTATTATTCTTACTTATTCTTTATTACAAGTCATAGCAGTTCAAATATATAGGAGCTATATTGAAAGGACCATCTCTGAAGCCAAATGGTGGCTTGTGGCCTAGCATTGCGTGACAAGCGAGAGGTTCTGGGTTTAAATCCCAGGGAAACTAAAAATGTATCGGTCGGGCAGGGCACAAAAGTCCGATCAACTACTTGCCTGATAAAGAACGCATCAGTGAAACGGACACAGAAATGTGTTCACACACATATTGAAAGTTTATTTATTGTGTATAAGGACTTATTCCTTAGCTTTATTTAGTGCTGCAAGTAGTGGTAGGATTTTTAATTATAGGTCTATCGATATTCTATGAACATCACTAGCTCTAAGCGTCAGGCAGTGGAGCGTGCTAACGACGAACAATGTTCGCTCCTAATCCCGCACACTAAGACAAGTGAAACGCTTTTTATGTATATTTTATTCGACATTACGTGAGCTAAAATGGTTTCCTAAATTGCCAGCTTGTAATTCATAAATTTGTACAGTTTCTGTAATTACTTCCAGGTTCGCGTGAGAAACTCTCGGTTGGATTTGACACGAATGTCATTTGTGTTTTCTAAATTTTTCCTAGTACTGTGTTTTAGTCTTTTAAAACCACGTTCTCGCCTGTGTTTTGCACCAATTATATTTCTGTACTGTCTGTAGTTAGTAGTACACATTTTAATAAAACGCTTAACGGTTTAAAACGCGATATACATTTAAACGCGTTAAACTTATTTGATAATTATTTTAACTACGGCCCGACGCTTCGGATGCTTTGCAGCAAAGGTGGTCACGGGAAGACTAAATATGGAGGATGTTTTTGACTTCGAAGTAAAAAACTGCTACGCTAGCGCCATCTGTTCCGTCGAAGTTTCAATAAACAGCATATAATTATGAATAGATAGAATATTTCTTTTAAGATTAAGTTACTCTAGATACAATTTGTTACAATTACGATGATTAAAATAAAGTAATAAAAGTAATTGTAACAAATAAAACATAATTATTGACCACATAGTGTAATGAGGTTGTTTCACTGTTTTAATGTATGTATGTATGACTTTCCTGACTATAAAATGATGTATATCATGAATAAAAGTCAACTTTTGACGTTAATTACATAATAGCTGATTTTTAATGACCAATAAATTACCTTTATTCTACAAATTACTAGATTAAAAGAAAAACTTTATACTAGCTGTGTCAGCGACGTTGTCCGCGTAAAATACTTACTTTAGGCATTCAAATTTATATTTGCAAATTGTTACCCATGACGTCGATTGCGTTTCGTCGTTCTTGCAAGATAACCTTAAAGGATAGACATATAGTGTCGCAGACATTTTTTTATATCATTTATTCCGTTTCGCCGTCTTCGCAGCGTACGCATCGGAAATTCACAAAGATGGGAGTTATTCCCCCCGTTTCTTCTACATTTCCCGCTGTTTCTTCGCTGCCATTAGTCACCGCGTGATTTTTATAGCCTTCCTCAATAAATACTCTAACCAACACGAAAATAATTTTCAATTCGCACCTGAGATTAGTGCGTTCAAACATACAAACTCTTCAGCTTTATATATCAGTATAGATGAATAACTATATTAGTGTTTTTTTTTAATGAAAAATTTCAAACACTCTGTTGTACATGGGTTATTAAAACAAACACAACATGTATTATTGGTTTTTTATTCAAAAATATTTTTTACAACCTTATAATAGTTAATTGGCAGTGTTTTAGATATTTCCATTGAGTATTATCTATTCATAACATTAACTAATACTAAAAATTTTTTTTTCCATATAATATATACAGCTTTTTAAACATATACACCTGATACATAATAAAATATAAATTAATGAACTCTCAAAAACTCTAATTGAACTAGAATTATGAATTGACACAATAAATGATATTATAAATATATTTTTAAACATATACCTAACTTCTTAGACGAAGCTAAAACATATAATTTATAATTTTATTATAATAATGTTTAAAATCCATTCGTCGATAAAATGTTGTGTTTGTACATAATATTTTGGTATCAATATAGGTATGGCAACTTAAAATAATGTTATTAATTAGTTAACTTTTAGAATACGAATGGTACCCTTGGTCGATCGTAATAATAACCTTCGTCTGGTACAAATGGTGGCCTTGTGGTGTATGGTGGGGGCGTAATAGGCTGTCTAGTGTATGGAGGTTGTCTTGTCGGTGTTGGGAATGGTGATGACGGCCTTGGGTAGGTATAACCTGAGGTTGGTCTGGTAGGTGGAGGTGGCGGTCTAGTTGGTGGTTGCGTAGGTGGAGGTGGTGGTCTGGTTGGTGGTTGCGTAGGGGGAGGTGGTGGTCTGGTTGGTGGTTGCGTAGGGGGAGGTGGTGGTCTGGTGGGTGGCTGCGTAGGTGGAGGTGGTGGTCTGGTGGGTGGTTGCGTAGGTGGAGGAGGTGGTCTGGTAGGCGGCTGGGTAGGTGGTGGTGGAGGCCTAGTGGGAGGTGATCTTGTTGGTGGTAGATATGTAGGTTGTGTTGGTAATGTAAAAGTTACTTTTGGGCTTGGGTAGTCATACCCAGTGGTTCTATATGTTGGAATTATAGTTGAATATGTGGGTCTGGTCGGTGGAGGTGTGGGTCGTGTTCGACGAGGTGTAGGTGGCGGCGCAGTTTGTGTAGGTGGTAGGTAAGTTATGGGTTTTGGGGTTGTCGGTTGTGTGGGTGGTCTTGTAGGTGGTGGTCGTCTAGTTGGTGGTAGATAAGTTGCAGTATATGTTGGATACGTTGGTCTTGGTGTAGGTGGTGGCGTTGGTCTTGATGGTGGTATGTATGTAGAGGGTGGTCTAGGAGGGGGAGAAGGCCTTGTTGGAGGCGTACGGGGAGGAGGTGGTCTTGTAGGTGGTGGTGTAGGTCTAGTTGGTGGTGGCGAAGGTGGTGGTGGACGCCGTGTTGGTGGTAGATATGTTGGTTGACTCGGTGGATATCTTGTTGTTGGTTGTCTTGTAGGGAATGTGAAAGGAATAGTTGGTTTTGGATAATCATAACCAGTTGTTGGCGTTTTTGGTGAAGGTGGTGGGGGTGGCCTGGTCGGTGGTGGTGTTCTAGGTGGAGTTGGTGGTGGTGGTGGTGGTCTGGTTGGTGGCGGTGGAGGTGGTCTAGTAGGTGGTGGTGGAGGAGGCCTTGTAGGTGGTGGTGGAGGAGGCCTTGTAGGTGGTGGTGGAGGAGGCCTTGTAGGTGGTGGTGGAGGAGGTCTAGTAGGTGGTGGTGGCGGTGGAGGAGGTCTGGTAGGTGGCGGTGATGGTTGCGTAGGAGGTAAATATGTTGGTGGACTAGGTGGTGGTGGCGGTCTTGTGGGTGGTGGTCGAGTAGGGAATGTGAAAGGAATAGTTGGTTTCGGATAATCATAACCAGTTGTTTGCGTTTTCGGTGATGGTGGTGGTGGAGGTCTCGTTGGTGGCGGTGGTGGTGGTGTCCTTGGCGGAGTTGGGGGTGGTGGCGGCCTCGTCTGTGGAGGTGGAGAAGGTCGTGTTGGTGGCGGCGGTGGAGGGAATGGTATCTTCGGCTTCGGATAGAAATAACCATCCTCATCTAGGTTCGCAGCTATGGGTTCGCCTAATACCGCATAGTTCTGGCTCGGATTTGGTATAGCTCGCACAAGTCTCTCCGCTTTGCATGTGTGGTACAGCGACAGTACCACCACCGCGACGTGCAGTGACAGCCTCTGAAATCAATAGTCTATATAAGCAATCGTGCTTTATTCAAATAGACTAATTGTCTAGAATATCTTCAAGGATGCCTCAAAGAAATCACTTTAGAGCGCTTTATACTAAAAGGTCGCCGTTTCTCGATATATATTTTTATTACTTTTTCTTTGAATCTCATCTTTGTAACGCTTCTGTGGTAAAAATTAGGAATTTTTATTGTTTTGTTATGTATTTTTTGTTAATATTGCATCGTTGCTAGTAACCCAAAAATTCAAGACGATTTATTTTATAAAATGGGACGCAGCAGGACGTTTGCAAAAACAAATTTTATGCCCAACATAACTATTCAACGCGGCCGAAGTCGCTGGCACAGCTAGTTTGAAATATATAACGTGTCAAATATTATATAATTACTATTTCTGTGTATTTGTCTAGTACATAGCCAATTATCGTATTCAAGTATTGGAAATCATTAGTGTGAAGAATAATACGAAGGTTGTCAATTCATAATAAACATAATTAGTTATTAATGATGTTTACAAGCAAAGTTAAAATCTAAACATCAAGTCAAGGATGCACGGTTTTGACCACTGACCCTGTCTGTATTCTATCTAGATAGTGTTGAATGCGTTTATGTTATGAAATAGTATGATTATATTATGCAGCTTAAGTCTACTCTTTATAAGAGTACAGAAAAAATAATAAACGGTTTAAAACGCGAAATTAAAAAAATAACTTGTTTATACCAATCTGTCGTTAGGAATAAATTGCTGTAGCCGTGGTCATGAGGAGATTAAAGATGGAGGGCTTCCTTAGTGTCAAAGACAAATGTGATTCGCTAGCTCGTTTCAAACCGTTATAAGAGTTTCACTTCTATATGTAAATTTTTTAAACAAGCACGATCTTCGCGAATGTGTACATTTCTCAAGCTCCAATTTCTTAACGCCTGTGAAATGTTTAAAGCAATATCACTTAGTTTTTCTTACAAGCAATACTTATACAATTGATATTAAATATTACAGTTTAGACCAAGAGCTCGCTTACATACCGTATGTACTGTGCAGGAGATATAGTCATCATTCATAGATTGATTTTGCTTTATAAAAATTAATGGCCCTGCGTGATTTAAACTCTCAATGTTCGTATCCAGAATTATAAGAGACGCTCTTACTAACGGACATAAGGATATAAAGAGGATACAAGTATTGTTTACGTGAGGAGACATTTTAAATAAAACAATTTTAACCGTTTAAAACGCGAAATATAATAATTGTTATTTACATAGCCGCTGCAAAGCAATAAAAACATCATGCCGTTAAAATAAATTCTTAAAAGTCAATGTTTCTAGTTTTAAACCGTTATAAATGTTCTATAAAAGATGATAAAAATTAATTTAAAAATCGAAAATAAATTGAAAAAATTTTCGACTCGGGCAGGACTTGAACCGGCATCGTCAACTTTCCGTGCTGTTGCTCTACCAATTGAGCTACTAAGCTACTTAGTACTTAAGCTACTAAGGTTTTTTCAATTTATTTTCGATTTTTAAATTATATAGTGCCTTCATGTGCAATAACATGTAAAAAATACTAATGTTTTTAAATGATAAAAATTACGTAAGTAACTATATCCTTATTATTAATTAGTCTTCACGCTTGAAAAATAAAAAGTAAGATTACCCTTTATAAATTACTTGACTTTTTCGTTTAAAGTGGATTGATTGGACTTGACCTATACATTTTATATTTGAATGTTAATATATTCAGAAATTACGATTTTGATATTAACTTACAACACACACACATTGTAACTGTTTAAAACGGGAATCATATTAGTTAACTTGGTATAGCCCCTCCCGCCTGCAAAGCATACAAAATAACGGTCGTAATTGCAATAAGTAAAATAAATGTATTAAGTGTTTTAAACAGATAAAAATGTGGTATTTTAATATGTGCTTGCAATAGATAATATTTAATTCTTAAGAAACAATTAACCTAAAAAATTGATCAAAATATCTCATTTTATGTCTATTTTAATATTACATTTACCAAAAAATTAATTTTTAGTAATTATTTTAACATTATTGTTGCGTTCTCGATTATTTTGTTTATAAGATTTAGTGACAGCCAGTCCAATACGTTTCCACGCTTTAGCAGGATTTGAGCCCGGAATCCTGGGTTTAGTATAGCAAGTTTAACATTGTGAAATTTATTTCACAATGTTAAAAAATTATCACAAAGTTAAAAATTTATCGCAATATTAAAAATTTATCACAATGTTAAAAATTTATGTTTAGAATCATTACAAATTGGCGTTCCTAACAAATGGATACATTCGTCGGGCTCGTTGGTGTAACGGTAGCAATGTAAGGCTTATAATCAACAGGTCGGGAGTTCGATCCCCACCGAATCCAACATATTCAAATTCAAATTCAAAACGTTTATTGCCATAAAATATATATTTACAACTTATAACTTAAACTAAATGTGTACATAAAAAGAATAATAATATAGTAATAAATATATAAGAGATGGATCGGTCCGCCAGCTATGCTGCTGAATGCTTGTCACACTCAGAGGCTGATTTTAGACTGGCCCGCGATAGAAGTAAAGAAGAATTTTTAGTAAAGTAGTATATAATAAATATAATTCCGAGATTGATAACAAATTTCTATTCAATTTATAATTTTTCTAAAATATGTTGGACTACTATCAGAATTCCTGCCGGGTTACGAACCACCATCCATAGATGAAGAAGCCGCGTTTCTGTTTCAAACTGGATTTCGGAATATCGAAAATAGGACAACAGTGCATCTTGATGTGATTTTATATGGCTGGGGTATCTCACCTTTCATCGAATGAACCATGCTTGTCTGTTCTCCTCTGCCCCCGACTATTGAATTTTAATATGCTCATGAAGCTTGTCTGTTGTGTATTATACCTATTTATTTATTTAAATAAAACACTTTAACGGTTTAAAACGCGATATTTATAAATCTTGGAAAATTATTTTTAACTTCGAGACACACCCCCCCAACCCGTGATCACGGCTAATGAAAAGCATCCGAATCGTCGGGCCGAAGTTAAAAACCATTCTCAAATAAGTTTTACTAATATATCGCGTTAAAGTGTTTTATTTAAATGTACACATTTATATACTCGCGTAAACTATAGACAGTATTTACCTATTTATTTAATTATCTTTTCAATACGTTCCATGTAGTTTCCTTAACAACGGTAGCCATTTGTTTAAATTACAAAATCACTAATATCATTCATGACATGTAAATTTCGGTGGTCTGTTTGTGTTTCTGTTTACGTAACGGGGTCAGGTTCATTTGTTTAAATGTTTTACGTAAATTAGTCGGTCTTACTTCATTTCGACAATACTGTGCTTGCCAGTGACTAAATATAGTTTGACAAATACTTGCGTTCTTCGTTTGTTTATTATAATTTTTTCCTACCACGTAACTACATTTTATTTCGTAAAAATATTAAATATTACGTACTTGTACGGCTGAGCTGATCTTAGTATGTAAGGAAAAGTGTATGAAAGACATTTGAGGCACAAATCTATATTTTTACTAATATATAAAGCTGAAGAGTCTGTTTGGTAGAACACGCTAATCTCAGAAACTAAGGTTTGGAATAAAAAAAAACAAACCTTTTGTTTAGATAATTTATCGAGGACGCTCATGAGCTAAAAACCAGCTATGAACCGTGTCCACTTACAATAATTTTCCCTTTTTTTTCACATTTCCTGCTATTTCTTCGCTCCTTTTTCTCACATCACGATGTGTCATAGCTTTCCTTGATAAATGTTCAAACCAACGCAAAAATAATTTTTCAATTCGAACCAGTAGTTCCATAAATCAGCACATTCAAACATACGAACAAACAAACTTTTCAGCTATAAAAAAAAAAAAAAAAAACCTATAAATATTAGTATAGATTTGTAATACCCCTTATATTATGTTTGTAAAATTAGTTTACAATTTAAATAAAACATTTTTAACGGTTTAAAACGCGATATATTAGTTAAACTTATTTGAAATGATTTTTAACTTCGGCCCGACGTTTCGGATGCTTTGCAGCAGCCGTGGTCACGGGGAGTCTTGCCGTTTTTTTTATTAGTTTTATTTAAAGGTGTGCTACTCGCGTAAACTATAGACAGTATTCAGTTTACGATTGTTAAATCTTTAGATATAAATATATATACGATCTCCAGTCTAGCGTACATCATCATAACTAATCTTAAATCCCCTAAAATTTTATGCACCTCTCAACTAGTATTTCGAAATATCAGAACCATATTTCGGCGATTGTAAAACGTGAAAATGATTGTATAATCACAAATAATTTCAGGTTATTATCTACATTGTTGGAGTACACTAGTAACGGTCGTGCAAAACAAATTGTTTGGTTTCTCGTTGCGTTTGCGCAAAAATACGTTGGTGTATGTCAGATTTCAAAGGCTAGTTAGTGATTCGGGGAATTCTATGAGACGATATTTGCAAAGAAAACTTTGCGTTAAAAAATATATTGCCCGAGCCCAAATAACAGCGTAATTGGTAGAGCAATAGCACGCTCTACCAATTGGTTGGTGGTGGTGGTGGTGGATGGTTACGTATCCCGCCAATTTTTTTTTAATAACAGACAAGCCCGTGTTCACTTGATGATAAATGAAATACTCCAGCCGTATAACATCTAAACAAAATACGCAGTCGATCTATTTTGGGCTGTGGAAATTTGTGAATTTCCAAATTTCCACAGCAACAACAGTCTAGTTTAATTGCTTTTTGTATTGTGATACAAAAAGCAATTAAACTAGACGGCTTTTTATCTGTGGACGGTGGTTCGTACCACAAATTTCAGGTCACATGTTTCATTTATATAAATCTGTACAATAAAATAATGATTCTTACTTTTCATTTATCTGTTATATATTTTTTAAATAATATTTATAGTTGCCTGAAGATTTATTTCATGAAGACCTGTGAATATATAGAATCATTATAAAA